GAGTGCGGCGCATGCGTGCTTTAACAAGAGGCGGGGCGATGACGCAAGCCTCTCAGATACATTGCGGAGAGGCAGTAACCACGGAGCGGCATATACGGAGTTTTGAAATCTTTCCACTCTGGGACCTAGTTTCAAAAATGTTCGTTTACACCCCCCTGAAACGCCGGCCTCGTATGGACGATACACTGGATTGATAAAGTATTTTTGCGTTTAGGCCTGAGCTTGACTTCGTGTGGACAGGGCCTAATGGTGCGTTCAGACCAAACGCGATTTCTGCGGCCAAAGCGGCGGGTCTACATTGACACAACATGGGGGACGCGCGCCAAGGAGCGGCGAAAGATCACGCGGCGCGAATTCGAGCGTTTCGCGCGATTCGCGCGGCGTGTTTTGAGATGTCAAGCGTTTTGACGCGCGTTTCGCGCGATTCGTGCCTCCAACGCGGCCGCCGCTAGCAGTTGAACAATGTTGAACTTTTTGGGAGAATTCGCGTGTGCCGACCAATCAGGAGCTTTCTCCTGATTCGGAACCGGGGCCCAAAAGCCTTATTTCTTGGGTTCAGGAGCCTCTCGCCCCCTCCTGGGACCCCCCAAAAGGGTGGCCAGCGAGGCGGTTTTAGGGGATCCCGCTGCCTTTGCCAACCCCAGGGGGGGTTATTTACTCCCTTTATTTTCTTCGTTGGGCCCAAGAAAAGGGGACGGGGGGGGTTTTTTTTTGGACCCAATTTTGGAATTTTGAGGGGGGCTTTTGGAAAAATCATTTCTGGAAAAGGTTCATCTTCCGTTTATTACGCATTTTTTTGCCTTTGTGACGGGGATTGCGGAGTCCCTAGTAGGGGGGACTGTTTGGGGGCCGGGGGAAATTTTGGGTTTTTCACGGTCCCATAGGATTTTGAGGTGGGGGACGGCGTATTTTTTCAACGTGCCCATTTTGCCGCAGCCCCCACCGGCGGGTTTTCCTCGGGTTCGCCTTTATCGGGGGGCGTTTCCACTTGGGGCAAGTTCCCCCCAGGGTTTCTTCCCTGTTGGCCTCTCTCTTCTTTCTCCGGAGGGGGTTTTTTCAACTCGGGTTTGGCGTGAAGGGCGGGGGTCTGGCCTCCGTTTGCCAGGGGCCAGTGGCCCCATGAAGGTTGTTGCCTTATCTGGACCGGATTGGCTGAATTCTGCCGCCCCGGTTTTCCCAGGGCCCCAACGGTCCTTTGGGAGGGATTACCGGGGAGGGCGGCTTTCTGGGGACTTCCATTGTCGCCCGCTTGGGTTTTAGAGTTCAATTTCGAGAAGAGCCCGGGCCCCTGGTGCTTCGGGCCAGGCGATGTTTTTTCTTGGGCCTGAATTGGAACCCCCCCCCCCCCACGGTGGGGGGACTTATGGGGACGGCGGCGGTTTCCTTCCCAGGTGCGGCACGCCTGGTCGGACCCATTTCCACGGTGTTGGTGGTCCCGTTTCGGGTCTTGGCCCCCAACCCCTGCCCCACCAGTACGTTTTTCCCCAGCTTTCTACCAGCTGGGGTGGGCCGAAAGTGCTGGGCCCTCCGATCTCGTCGTGTGGGTTTCCCCCCCCCACTCGGGGCATGCTTTTCGCTTTTTCCGAGTTTGGCAAAGAGGGTGGCTTTTGGAAAGGGTTTCGTTTTTGGATGCCGGTTCGTCACCGCCCCCACCACCCAGGGGGGGACGGTCGCAGGTGGGACGTGGGGCTTGTTTTTTCGTGTGGCTTTGTGCTCCATTGGAGGGACCGGGGGGGTCTCTTTGTTCACGTGGGGTCCCCTTTTGGGGGTGGGTTAGTGTTGCCCGCAGGGAAAGTGGGGTCCAACCACCGACGCCCCCAAGCCGTAACGGGATGGGGTGCCTTGTGTGGGCCAGCCACCAGGGGTTGGGCCCGAGGGGGTTTGGTCTCGGGGCAGAGGGCGTTCAGACCACCATTTAAAAATGTTTATGGTAAGGCTGGCGGGGCCCGTCCCCCCCCCCCCCCACCTTGCCTTCCTCCCCAGGAGTTTTTTGTTGGGCCTTCCCACCTGCTGGGGGAAAACATGTCCCTCATTCGTTCGGGAACAAAACCACCTCGGGTCGTGTTATCCACATTCCAAAACCCATCAAGGGGGTGTCCCCGATTCGGCTCGGGCTCTCGAGGTGGTTTCTCAGGCCTTGCTGGTTTGTGCTTTGCGCCTCGCCTGGTCAAACATGCGTGGGCCAGCGTATTTTCTTTTGCCCCAGGGGGACTTGCAATTCGCGTTTGGCGGGGGGGGAACTCCCTGTTCTCGTGGGAGGCCTGCCCGGGGGGAATTTTTGGTGGTCTTCACCATCCCCAGTTGTGGTCCAGGAGGATTATTTTTTTTGGGGGCTTTTTGGGTCCCAGGCCCACCCAGGTTTGGGACCTATTCGTTTCGGTTTTGGGGCCCTTCCCACTCTTTTTTGCCCCGCCAGTTTTTTTTCCTGGGACGGGGCTCCGGGGGGCTCTCTCGGGCCCAGGATTTTGGCCCCTGGCGCACCCAGTTTTGGGCTCAGGGGGTCCCTCTGTTACGCCTTCCCCCTTTTTTTCCTCTGGGATTTCTGGGCCCCCCACCCTCCCCCAGAGAAGTTCCCTTCGGGCGGGGCCCCACAGGTTTTGTTTTTGCTGGTGGGCCCTCCGTGTTTGGTCCTGCCCCAACGGGCCTGGGTTTTCCCACTGCTATACTCAGGACTTGTTGGGGCTCCCCCCCCTGGCCTTCTCCATTCCCCAGGCGGGATCTGCTCTCACAGGTTGGGACGGGTCCAGGTGTGGGCAATCCCTGTCTCACCGCCTCAAGTATGGGGGTGTTGGCCCGTTTGGCTGGCCCCGGGAGCTGCGGGGCGCTCGGGGATTGTCCCACATTTGGCCCTGGTCCCAGGCGTTTACCCACCACTCTTGAATTTGCCAGGGGCGGGGCCTTTTTTTTACCTCGGCGGCTGTTTATGAGGAATAGGTTTGGGAAGTTGGTTTCTCCCGCCTGGTGGTTTCCCGCGGTCAGGGATCCCGTGTCGTGCCCCGGTGGCGGGTTGGTTTCAGGAGTTTTCCCTTCCAGGTCTCTTCCTGGATTTTTGGTAGGTCGTGGGCCCCATCTTACTCTTGAAGGTTATATGTTGCTTGGCCTATTTTTCATTTGTTATCATGGCCAGGTATGATTTAACTGTTTTTACTTGTTGGTGAGCCCCCCCCCCACCCCCCCCCCCCCCGGGGTCCAATAAACCTGGTGTCTCTCTTTTTTTTACGCGGAGGGTTAGGCTGCCCCCACCTTCGCGGGTGCCCCGGCACGGTCTCCGGTTTTGGGGACCTGGCCTTGGTGTTGGAGTCTCTTCTGCCGGCCCTTCCCGTATGGGAAGCCATTGGGGCCCGAACGGACCTCAAAGTGGGGGTTCACCTATAAAAACTTGCTTTCTGTTTGGCTGTTGGTTCTCTGCCCAAAAAAGGGGGTCGGTGGAATTTTGCCATGCCCCACTTTCTTGGTTCCCAGTCCCTCCATGGGGCCTTACATGGGGGACCCGGAGAAGGGTTTTGGCCGTGGTCTTTGTGTGGCCTAATTTTCACCACTTTCCTTCCCTAAGGTGCTTTTTCCCGGTGACTATTGTTTCAAAAAAACCGGACCTTTGGAGGGTTTTGGGCGGCGGGGGTTTGTGTTCCTTCCCATGGATGGGGGGTTTGGGGGGGTGGACAAGGGGGACTGGCCACCTGCTGCTGTCATGTGAGGGGGCCATTTGGAGGCCTTACGTTGCTTGCCGGACGGCGGGGTTGTGAGGGGCGGCTCAGTGGAACCAATAGCTTCTTTGGTTGTTTATGGTGGTTGCTAGGGACTTAGGGAAAGGTCCCACTTTCGGAAAGGCAAACGCCTTTTTTCCCCCCACTGGGTGGGTTGACGTTTTATCCCAGTCAGGCCCGGTTACGTTTCGGCCGAGCCGCGGGGGGACCCGCCAGCCGAGGTGGAGGGGCCCATTCTTACCAGGGGGTGGTCTTTACCTTTTTCCTTGGGCCGCTATTTGGGGGGGGTGCCGTTGGGGGGGGGGGGGGGGGGAAACTATGTGTTGGCTGCTATGCGGTCTTGGGCTTACCACCAAAGCACGTTCCACCAGATTTCTTATAACATCAAATGTGGCCCACTCCGGCTCCATCCCTTGGCGTTGGGTCCTTTTCCGGGGAATTTCCTTTCTTGGCTTCTCCCCTCCGTGGGGAGGTGTATTGTGTGGTTCCCCCCAAGTTCCTTCGTGGAACCCAATTAGCTGGCCTTTTATTAGGTCATTTTCAGTGCCTATTGGGCCACCCCCCGCCCTTGGGCGGTTTTTTTCCCAAAGGGAAGGGATGGGAAAATAAGAACGGAGGGTTTACCATTTTGTAACCACGGTTACTATGTAACCACGGTTCTATGAATCCCGGATGACCGCCAGAGGCGCTCTGTCCCCCACTCAGGGTCCTTGCATCCGCGAGAAGATTCTGCAGGAACAGAGTGCTGGATGACGCTGGACTTTATTACCTCCGGTGTGTCACCCAGGGGGTCACAGGTGTGACTCATTTGGTATTATTACTCGAACTGCGCATGCGCGAAGGGAACATTCAGTGCTATGCACCGCCCTCTGGCGGTCATCCGGGATTCATAGAACCGTGGTTACATACGTAACCCTCGTTTACGTTTGTTCTCTGCTACTGCGCATGTCCAAATTTACGTGCGGGGAGCAGTGGGGAGGTTTGGGTCAGATCAGGCAGGGAATTCACACCTTTTTCCTTACGCGGGTGTGAAAGAGAGCCCCCTCTGCAGGCTGGATCTGAACACTTGCGTTTTCACCCCCCTGGACCACAGTCTTCGTATGAACGGGGGGTAGCAACCGACATCCAACTATAGCGTTTTACTGCTACTGTGTCTTTGTGTAAACTGGGCCTAAAACTAAGCTCAGTGATCCCCTGGAGAACGTTTTCATACAGAGAACATTGTGTTGTTTGATTAAAAAACAAAAAAAAACAAAAAAACACATAACTCATAAAACCTCTTTGCAGCCTGTTGGTATGGCTAGCTATGTAAGGTTTTTCAATAATTGATTAGTTGTGATTAATCAGCCCAACAATTAATTAAAATGTTTTCCTTGTTTATTTGATAACAACTCTCTTTTCAGGGTTTAAAAGCAATAGACGTGACCATAAAGAGGGAGAGTGATCTTCCCGCTGCCGACCCCAACACTCCCATCCCACTGAAGTACGAGGAGAGGAGCACGACAGGAGCCTCCGTGCCCGACAACGGCCTCTCACTGCTGTTAGAGAGAAGTTAGTATCCGCCACATAATCTCTCTCATCCATACTAGAACATCCTCATATATTCCTGTTTCGCCTCCAGCCGGGGTCGTGCACGAGGACCAGAAGCACCCCACGCGCTCTGGGATGATCCCCGGATCCTGGCAGCACCGGCTGAAGATGCAGCTCTTTCTCAAAGCAGCTAAAGCTTATTATGTGCTGTCTGACGCCGCATCCACCCTGCTCAAGTACGGACGAGCTCTGCGCTACGTCAAGCTGTCCCTGCAGTGCTACGGTAACCTCCTAAACACACATCTGTAAACACAAACACACACATACATCTATAAACACACCACACACTACAGGTGTACATTAGCGCTCCTGCCATTCTCTGGTTCAATGCGTCTCTCCTTTAGGCTATTGTTTGTTAATGTACAATGTCCCTGTAAAAGAATCAGACCAATCATTATATTTCAGAACTATGCTCTTATTTAAACCATCTGTCAAGTATGTAGGAGTTTTAAGTCATGCAACTGTAACTTCCTCTGTTTATGATGCGAGAACAGGTAAGTAAGTAATCTTTATTAATATGCCACATTTTACAGACCGAGGTCACCAAAGCACTTTACAATTGTTGAGAGTTCAGATTTTTCCCCCAACATCCCCATCCATTCACTCTCTCATTACATTCAGACCTATTCTACATGTTTTTGGTGGTAGGGGCAACCGGCGCACCTGGAGGAAACCCTACGCAGACACTGGGAGAAAATGCAATCTCCACACAGAAAGGCCTGCTAATAATAAGCTAATAAATGTTGTTGTTTTTTTGTTTTCAGTCTGTACATTGATGTTAGATATAGATATGAAAATGTTGATTGAAACTAAAAAAATGTTGATTGAAACTAAAAAGACAAAGCCGTTAAGGTTTACAAGTTTATGCACCCAGCTAGTGATTTAATAGTTTTGGCAATATTTTGGAATCTATGAGCACAAAATGTTTTTGTTCTTCTCATCATTAGTGGTTATGTGAAGCCATAAATGTAATGAATTAACTACATTAAATTAAATGTGGGCAGCCCTACCATCAGAGAGGATAAAGAACCTCATCCACAACTATCACAAGAGACTCCAAAAGTCATAGATGTAAAAGACGAAATACACACTACTGAGAACTTCATATCAGGGTCAGAAAAGGAGTTTCTGTTGTCGTTAAAATAAAATAAAAATTAGTTTATTTCACAATAAGTGGCATCACATAACCGCTAACATTGATCGTTCAGAATCTCTCAAAAATGGCCCAATAATGAAGCATTGTGTGTTTGTGTGTGATCCGCAGACGCCTACTGCTCGGTCAGCGGTGCTCTCCACGCCCACGTGCTGCACTTCCACAGCCAGTGCCTGTCTCTGTGCGGGGACATCCAGCTCATGTTGGCCCAGAACGCCAACAATCGAGCGGCCTACATGGAGGAGTACAACTACCAGACCAAAGAGGACCAGGAGATCCTCCACAGCCTGCACCGAGAGAGCAGCTGCCAAGGTCCTACATCTGCACCTGGAACTAGTCTAATGTTGATCTGCTCCGTTCGCTTTAGAGTCGTCTGACTTTGTTCAAACGCAAAATACCAGGAATTTCTCATTTAAGTGGAGAAAGATTCAAGAAAATGAAAAGTCAGTTTTTCTAAAAAGTCTGCTTCAATTGCAGTTGTCGATTCCTCGACAGCAGGTCAGAGAATCAAACAGTTCGAACACAGCAAATGCAATAGCAACAAACGGATAGAAGCAGAAGCAATTTCCCCTCTGTGGGTCTAGTTAAAGATCTTACATAGATTTTCCGCATATGATACAGTATGTCTCCTAAATTCAATCATAATGTGCCATGTCATTTCATTAAAGTGGAGAAAAAATCTAGAAAATGATTCAAAAAAGGAGAATGACAGAATATTTAGGAAAATGATATCAAGAAATAAAAATAGTAATATAGATAAAAGAAAATGAAAGAAAAAATAACTTGGACCTCAGGCACACATTTTCACGCAATTAAAATGTAAGTGTAAATATTCCTGTTGTTTGAAAAATGTTCTATGCCAGTGCTATTAAATGTTTGCAATAAACGATGTATAAATGCTCTTACATGTACCTGTTGTGCGTGTCCCAGCCTTCAACATGGCCACAGACCTGGCCTTGGACCCCGAGTACCAGCTGTTTGTGAGCGGCAAGTGTTACGAGGCGGCCCAGGAGCTGCTGCTGTGCGACGCTCTGAAGGACGGCGCCGGAGAGCAGCTCAAGCAGGTGCTCAAGCGTCTGGGGAACATCCGCAACGAGATGGGAGTGTTCTACATGAACCAGGCTGCCGCCATGCAGAGCGAGAAGGAAGGTAGGACCCAGCGCCGCATCCACGCTGGAGAGACAAGACTTTTAATGGTTCTTACTTGTAGTGCTACAACAAATCCAAGCTAAGGAGTTTAAAAATGTACTAAGTGGTTGCACCCATACATACACATTGGAAAAACTGTGCAAGACTACCCCCAGTGTGCACCAGCTAACTGATTTATTGTGCACGAGCTGAAAGAAGCACAAGTTGCACTCACAGTTTAGCGCCTGGATGGATAAAGATACCGATCAGACTGCCTGAAACAGTGACAAGCGACAGTAGCTCAGTTGGTAGAGTGTTGGCCTTTGAGCCGGAAGGTCCTGGGTTCGAGCCCACCACAAGACCTTCACCATCGACTCCCACTGTCTGCTGTCGTGTCCTAGGCAAGACACTTCACCCTCATTGCCTAGAATGAGTCTGGTGTGTGTGTGTGAATGGTTGGTGGTGGTCATAGAGGGGCCGTTGGCACAGACTGGTTGCCTGGGGCTCATCTCCGGTCAAAGTCTGTCACTCTCTACATTCTTGTGTTTAAAATGATAGTAAAATACAATATCCCACTTCTGCCCCTAGATATAAGTGTTTAACCACATTACTGTATACATTTTACTCGTTTGTCTAGATAGTTTGGATGTGATAAACTATTTCACGTTCTAAAACATGAAAAGTTCAAATAATTGCTGAAATAAATACAATAATATGAATAGTACTTTAAAGGTATATATCATTATAGTGACTGTGGCTGTATGGTATTGTATGGTGTGGTATTTTTATTTTTACAGAGACAGTGAACAAGTATTTAAGTATTACAAATAAATAATAAATAGAAAGATAAACTCCCTGTTTGTGAGGATTGCAGTGTGCTTGGAGCCTGATCTCCGTCCTCTGGGTTTGTTTGTTTCTCAGTGAAGACGAGCGTGTCTGTGGCTGAGCAGGAAATCTGGAAGAAGAGCTTCAGTCTGTTTGAGAAAGGCATGAAGGACTTTGAGGCGATCGAGGACAGCACCAACACGGCGCTGCTGCTGTGCAACACCGGCAGACTGATGCGCATCTGTGCCCAGGCTCACAGCCCCGTGTTCGACGACCTGAGCAGAGACGAGTTCTCACCAGAGGAGGCGCTCTACCACAACAAGGTACGACAGCGTCACAATGTTAATGAGGTCTCAGTGAATCATTGTCGGAGAAGATATCGTAAACACTGCCTTTGAAACACTTACATTTATACTGTATACTGTTGTAAAAATGTTTCACACAGACGGAGAAAATGACTATGAATAAAACATAGAACTGTAGCTGTCAGCTTGTCTGAATTTAGAAGCATGGCTAACCACTTCCAACCTTTTTTTTGTTGTGTTGCCATCTGAAAATGAAATAATCATTTTCAAAAGCCAAGAATGGAAAGTATTAAAAGGTAAAAAGGATTAGGGTTAAACATGTTTTAATTCAGTGTTTTTCAACCTTTTTTGAGCCAAGGCACACTTTTTTCACTGAAAAAATCTTGCGGCACACCTCCAGGAGAAAATGTAAAAATGTATACAGTACTAATGTAAAAATATATACTGTACATACTCTGTGTGATATATAAAGTATATCTTATCTTATCTTATAATGTATACAGTATACTCTGTAGCCTATATTCACAATATACAGTTATTCTCATCAAAAGGCTTAAGTCCAGGCCTTGACATTAAGCTTTATTTAATATTTCTCGATACAATTAACAAGAGTTTGGGAATAAAGTGGCTCTAACTGTGTGGAAATAAACTAAGAAAATCCACTCTCTGCCCAAATAGTCAAATAATAACTCACACAAAGAACATGCATTGTTAGTGCATGGGAAACATTTAGGTATCCGAGCTTTAAATTCAGGAGTTTTGGATGAGGGACACGGGAGGTCCTGAACGCGAGTCCATGGTTCTGTCCGGTCCGCATGTCTGTGGTTCTGTCCACTCGACTATGGTCTGCGCTCGGTACCCAGTTCAGAAGTGCGTTCGCGAGAGCTGTTGTACAAAAATTGTACATTTCATAGTTAAACCACTACAACGCGGCCACAGCTGCCCCGGGGCAGAGCGGAGGATGTTAATCCTGTTCAGAAACGGCATAATTCATTTTCAAAAACGTCTCTATCACTTTCACTTCTCACTCGCAACAAAGCTCTTGTCTCGCTCCCTCACACATTTGTTGGTCGCATCCAATTTTACCTTTCTCGCCACAATGCTGACCTGTTACAGCCAGTGGTCGCATCCAATTTTTCAGTTTCAAAGTACTTAGCTATCTGCTGCCATCTACTGATTTGAAAAAGTATTACATGGTTACTCCACAGTTCAAAACAAGTCACCGCTCGTCAACAGCGAATGCAGTTATTTTTAGACAAAGTAGACGAATTTCTCACGGCACACCAGACAATATCATACGGCACACTAGTGTGCCGCGGCACAGTGGTTGAAAAACACTGTTTTAATTAACAGTACTTCACTATGTCACATGAAGCAAAAATTGTTTTAAAACAACTTCTGCTTGTATGAGTCTGAGCAGGGCATTATCAAAAGCTAATCTCCATAACTCAGTGCTTACTAATATTCTTAATCATTATGAAGGGACTTTCTCTCTACCTTTTTAGGGTATATTTAAAACTGTATTTAGTATTCACATATATTTATTACAGTAAAACATATTGTGATGAACATTTATTTCAATAATACTGTTGTCAATTTAACAGTCTTTGAATTTACTTTTCCATTGTATGAACAATCTATGCCCACATATCAATTATGGCCAAATCTGCTTCTCGTGGACCCCGTCTCTTATTTGATTTGATTTCATTTAACTTCTTTATACCCATACTTGTAATGATATGATGCTCACTATTTAATCATACATTTGTGTTCTGCAGGCCATAGACTACTACCTACGTGCAATGAAGTCCTTGACCACTAGAGGGAGCCATCCAGCCGTTTGGGACAGTGTGGTCTGGGAGCTGTCCACCACATACTTCACTCTGGCCACTCTGCTGCAGGACTACGCCCCGCTGTCCAGGAAGGCTCAGGAGCAGGTGGAGCAGGCAGCACGGGCAGCACAAGGACGCATTGAGACTCGAAAATGAGAATAAAGTCATTGTTCTGTGTTTTTAGATTGAGAGAGAAGTGACGGAGGCCATGATGAAGTCTCTGAAGTACTGCGACCTGCAGACGGAATCTGCCCGACAGCCGCTGTACCAGTACAGAGCCGCCACCATCCACCACCGCCTGGCCTCCATGTACCACAGCTGCTTCAGGAACCAGGTGCCCCATGCTCACTTTTACACCGATTCAAGTTTAAGATTTTAGAGATTCTTTATTTGTTCCACAGTGGGGAAATTTCAGTGTTGCATAACTGGATATAGAACAGTAGGAATGAAGAGAAACACAAGATCAATTAACAACAACTCTATACTAAAATAAAAAAATCTCTTCTTTAGCATAATAAAGAAGCAATTTGAAAGGACTGTATAATAAAGTACAAGAAGTATATAGTTGTGTGTATACATCTGTACATGTCGCAGCAGGAGGAGGTAAGTGCCTGAGTAAGCTTTAAAAAAAATTGTGCATTTATAGTCCTGCAGCATGAGGATCTTTTAAACGTACTGCATCTCAACAAATAATTTACTTACAAATGTTTGAGTATATAATGCTTCGGTGCTACTTTTACATTTACATTTTCAATCATTTGGTTTGAGTTTTATATTTGTAACTACATTCAAACAATTTGGGCGCCCAAGTGAGCTCCAGCCCTGAATCACATTGAATATTACCATAAAACTACAATCATCAACAATGTAACTCTTGATCTATTTTTTATTGGATTTGAATATTTTTAATTCTTGAATTAAATTCCAATCAGAATACTTTCTAGACTAGACTTAGTTACATGTGATATACTAAGATATTCTAAAATTGTTGCCAGAGGCTTGCTACCCAGTCTAAAAATGACATGCCCCACCTTTTCTTTAGTTCTCTATCTCTAGCAACATTTCAGGATTTCACCTTTTGGAAAAACTGTATTACTTGGTAGCGTGTTTGTGTGTTTTCTTTTCTCACTGAGCCTCTCCCTGAGTACAAGTAAAAAGAAAAACCTGAATGACGTGTGTGTTGCAGGTGGGGGACGAGGCCCTGAGGAAGCAGCACCGCAGCCTGGCAGAGCTGCACTACAGTAAAGCCGTGAGTCTGTTTCTCAGTCTGCGGGACGCGCCCTGTGAGCTGCTGCGCACGCTGCTGGAGAGAGTGGCCTTCACTGAGTTCACCATGGCAGGTAACGCCACATGGACGAGACACAGCGCTGTGAGAACCAGGGGGAGGAGTCATTCACAGATCAGGTTCAAAAGACTTAAACAGACTTATGTGACGAGTAGTCAACCAGGCTCAGCCCAGTTCAAGTGACCAGACCAACATTTAGTTTCTAGCTTTGGAAGGTTTTTCTTGTTTTCTTAAACGATTAAGTTATTATTGTTCTTTAATACGCATATTTGACCCATCCTACAATGCAACTAGGGCGTCTGTCAGGAGCAGTGGTCGCTGTAGCACAGCGCCCAGGGACCGTCTCCAGATCTTGATGCCCGTTTTGGTCAGGACCAGCTGTAGGATTTTACCTATTGTTCATGTTTTTAGTGGTAGGGTGAACTGGAGCACCCAGAGAAAACCTACGCAGAAACGTGGAGAACATGCAAACTCCACTCAGAAAGGCCATACTCCGACCAGGATATAAACCCAGCACCTTCTTACTGAGAAGCGACAGTATTTTGACAGTATTTTGACACTGTTATTACTTTATAAAACAGTTTAGGGTTTAGATATTCCTTTCTGGTAAATTATTTCTTGAAAAATCTTAACCCGTTACCATGAATACTTGCCAGTTACTTGTATTAGTTGTAAATCCAGGGCCCACTGGACGCCACTGTAAACCAAACACCAAATCATAATCAAACTAATATAAGTAGTTTTCACCTGGTGTGTTTTTATGGGTGCAGGTCAAAGCAGCAACACCGCCAAGATGAAGAGTCTGACCGCGGCTCTGGACGTCATGGCGGAGACGAGACACGCCTTTCAGCTCATTCACAAAGAGCTGATGGAGGAGGAGATGGAGGTACACCGCAAAAAGTGATGAAAACTGCCTAAACTGCCTTAAAATTAGATTTGCCAATGGGACAAGCAAAATGATCTTGTTATACTCATTATTTGAATAAGAAACACTTGATTTGAGCATTTGTTACTTAAAATGTAAAAAAATGTTTGCAGTGTAAACAAAAAATTACTGTATATCCATTCTGTCCATGTAATATCTATCAAACGTGTACGAAGTTACCACAGACATTTATTTCCTCTTTTCCCCCGCAGAAAGAACAGGACGAGGCCGAATCCGGAGAACCCACAGAAGATTCCCCGACCAATGACGGCGCAGGACTCAACATCCAGGAAGTGACCAAGCTCATCGGTGTCTTCGAACCCAGCTTCTCCTTCCTGTTGCTCCAAGTCATAAAGATTCTCACGACGATAAAACGCAAATCAAGGTGAGTGTGGGAGATTATTGCACCGCAACGACTGCTTTTGTGAACTGACAGAAAGTGTGCGTTTTGCAGCAGTAAGGACGAGGAGCTGCTGAAGACGTACAAAGATGTGTATTCCAAGTTACTACGCGGCGAGAAGGGCGGCCCGATGCTCACGCGGGTCAAGTTTTACATCGAGCTTTTAAATCAGCTCAAGGCAGAGACAAAAAACTCAGATGTATAGCAAAAAACTGTTTGAACACGACTGAATGTCTTGGCTTTAATCCTTCGAATGCATTTCAAGCTACAGCGACGGCTTCCGCATTAGGACGCCATTTTTGTTCTCTTTGGTCCAAAATTATTCAATCTTTTTTCCAGATTTTAATTCTGAAATCCACAAGAGAGTTCCGGTGGTTTCCGTAGACCAGATTCTGTTCCACACAAGTGCCCATTGTGCAAATTTAACTGCACAGATTTTCTAAATTATTCTGGACTTTTGTTCCATCTTCCACAGCGAAACTAAAGCTTTCTAATGACGTCTTTGCTAACAAAGATTCCATGACTTCAGATTTGTACAGAACCGATGTTTGCAAACGAGCTCAAAGATTTATCCCAGAGGAAAAAATGTATTAAACGTAGATAAAAGTGTTAAAGTTGACGGATGGCACCAGCAATAATACTGTGAATGAAGCTGGAGTCCTGTGTGAAGCTTTCACTAAAACTTTGTGCAATAGAACGGCAACTGTTCAATGCAAACTCTGTGTTGTGAACGGCTCTGAAGCATGTTTGTGCTGTGACTTGTAAAATAAACCTTGTATTATAGCTTTAACTTGATGTCTTTTTGTTCAAAGTTAAGCGAACAGTGACATGTCCATTTCGTTCTGTTAGAGGAGGGCTGGAACTGATCCATTCATCATTTTTGAAGCGTTACCGAACTGAAGCATTCTAAGAGCTTTTATGATTAGTGACATGAAATAAATGAAAAAGTATTTCTAGTTACAAAAATAAACTATTACAGGTGAAAATCAAAATTAGAATATTGTTAAATGTGTTTTTTCTGTAATTCAACATAAAATATGAAACAAATGATCAAATATGATAATTCTGAGTTTCACCTGAATGTTACAATCATGAATCTAGTCCAGTGGTGGCAAACCCCGGCCCATGGGCCAGATGTGGCCCTTTGGATGTTTCTATCAGGCGCCTGAGCTCTCCGCAGACACAGTATAACAATTACAACATCCTTCTCTTGTTTCACCACAAAACATAACATTAAATATGATACATTTGTATAAAAAAAATGAAGCCTTAGAGAAACATTGGAAATTACGAACGGCCCCCACAGCAGGTGGATATTCCAATGTGGCCCCAGGAGAAGTTTGCCCACGCTTCATCTAGTCTCCAGGATAATGTTCCGAAGTGGCATCATTACAGCTTTGTTTGGGTCAAATTTTCTAAAAGAAATGCTCATTAGTCGATGAAACTCAATGATACTTATTAATTACATTCCCAGTGTTTCTGTATTTGGCGAAATAGTACAACATGGAAAAGACTTAAAAATATTCATAATTCAGAAAGTGACATTTATTGTGCTCCTAAAGCTGAGAGAAGAGGACACAGTTGATGATAAGGTGCAGTGATAAATAACAACGCAACAGTAAACACAAACAATAGTCCCATCACTGGACAACACAGCGGTCGCTTGTGTGCTCCTCCTGGTGGCTGCTCTGTGTCACTGCAGCCTCTTTAGCACACAGGTCTCTGTCCAGAAGCTGCTGAAGGAAGTCTTTGCTCTCACTCGACGGCAGGTTGTAGAAGAAATACTGAGGCACCATCTCAATAAATCTAATGAAAAGAAATTAAAGTGTGTACAAACTCTATATAAAACATCTAACAGCCAACCTTTTCACAACTGTATTAGTGTGAAATTAGGTTCTGCACTTTTGAAATAAATCAAACCCAAAAAATAAACGTCTTTATAACGTAAACCTTCTTTAGCATCTGCATTTCCTAGTGTGTACAGTACAACACTCCTTTATTGAACAAGGCTAAACATTTCTTCTGCGATTGAACAGAAGTTGAAGAGTTATATTTAAATGACGTCTCAACCAAATAATAGTTCAGAATAATTTGTAGAGATACTTTTACTTCAAGCTGTTTTTGTTTCATTTTAACATGATGTGAGTCCAAATAGAGTCAGACCACGACATGCTAACAACAACTTACATTTTTATTACTGACTTTTTACACACTGAGAGCTGATTGGCTGAGTGAGGGTTGGTTCTCTCCCTTTCACTGAAAAAGCTGAAGATGTGACAGAGGCTAAAATAAATGCAAAAACTAGCGATGAAACCAAATTTATATTCATTTTTTGTGTTGGCTATTCCAGCAATGAGTCATTATTTTGTGTCTGTTTCTGCTTTTTTACACATGAAACAAAACAGTCCTTTCCCCTCTGTCTCTCTGTGTACATTTGTCTCCACATTATCCGACATGTGTGATGCGTAATCCTGCGTGGACTGGGATTATCCAACCTTCTGTGCGACCGCATCACGACCACACTGCTCTGGGATTTCCCATCTAAATGTCTGTGATTAAATATCGTGCGACGTAGAGTAATCCATCTGGACTGTCATTCCACATTTAAACTCCAAGATTAAGCATTTTTGTTCTGTTTAAAAAGGTCTAGAGTCGACAACATCGTCTTTGATAGATAGTCTTTGATAGGCGACATAGTAATTATCATCAGGTAATTAACTTAAGATAAACTTTATTGATCAAGAAGGATATTACAGTGGTGTCAGCTGCTCTCATTCACACAAGTACATAATAAATAAGTTGCTAAAATACAATAAAATCAGTGCAAAAGAGGTATTCTTGTATCTTTGTGTCTCTTTTATAATATGTTTTTTAGTCACATTTGGGCATGGCACACATTTTGACCAGGTTTCTCTCGTTACAGTGGATTTTGATCTTAAAAGTCACCCGGTTGATTACAGATGAATCTATAGATAAATCCAGATCTTTGTGTGTATGTGTGCAAGTAGATAGATTGATTAAAGCTGGGGTATCTAATTCAATTCAACGATAACAGTAGTTATCTTTGCAAAACCGTTGATTCTCCAACACAGATCAGAGAAGAAAACAGTTCAAAATGGCCCCTGTCTTATTTTTCAAACCACAAATTAAATCCATCAAACTAGTTCCTCGCCCTGAAAACAATTTGGTTCTATCACTACTTTTCACATGTCTGTATTTTGGCCTCTGTCACACCTTGAACTAAACCTTTTCTGACAATAAAGAGGAAAAGAGAAGACCTAGTGACTCTACAAGAATGATAAAGATGGAAACATTCTCTAATAATAATAATAATAATAATAATAATAATAATATGACAGTTTGTTGTGGTCTGATCTGATACAACACTTTACTCAAGACTCTTTCTGTTGGGACTAACAACATGTATTATCTATGAAAGGAAAGATTTAGGTACCCTAGCTTTACAGAGAGAGTGTGAGCACAGATATGACCACAACACGCTCAGTGAATGTGTTTGAGCTTTACTAATACTAAGAAGCTTCATGGATTAGAATGTGCCGTCAGTGGTTGATCATTTCAGACTGAATGACAAAGACTGGACCAAACAAAAGACTGTGTTTATGGTCGAGGACAGAGACAAATGTAAAATAACTCTTCACAACTTCGAGAAGAAGAATATTGTTCAAACACATGTTGTAATGTCTTATTTTGATTTGTGTGTAGCATCTATTTCAGTTTAACATGTAAACTAAAGGGTTGGCGTCTATAAACTTTAGCTTCTGCCTGTCTGACTGAAACTGTCAGAAATGTCAGAAATAAATAAATAAACTGAAAGGTAAATGTAGAGCAGGACTCACTCGTGAGGTTTGATCTGCGTGACAGTGCGGAGACAGTTATCCTCAGAGAAGGAGTGCTCGTGGAAGAGCACCCACTCAGGGAGGCCCAGTCTGGGGCTCTTGGGGCCGTAGCAGGAGGACGGGTGGATCTGAGCCACGTGTTTGTGAGTGAGGATCAGGTAGTTCCCACAAGCGTCCACGTCCCGGGCCACCTGCACACACACCACACAGACACAAGTGTGTTGCTCATTATCACGGCTGCACAGGAGGCGTCTGCAAACATCATACTTGTAGTTTTAGAGTTTGCTAATTGTGACAAATGTGAAAACTGTGATTTGGATTTGATAATTAATGATTAATTGTGCAGCTCTAATGAGCATAGAACTGTTTAGATATAAGTATAGTATATTCACATGAGGACTCCCAGAATTATGAAACTAATCCCAGAACAGACATGGCTTCCATTCAAATCAATGAAATGCTTTACTACTTTTCTTTAAAAAAAGAAATTTATACGTGTTAAAACTGGTGAACTTGAAAAACAGCAAAAAGATTTGTTAAAGGGAAACTAATATTAGCACTCAGCTCAGAACCAGAACCAGTCTGGTTGACTGGCGACAAAAAATGACTATATTTGAATTTATAATTTATAATTTTCTACTCAAGTTTAACAAAAATAATGAATTATGCTTCTAAAACAAAAAGCAGTCAAATGGACTGCTCTGAGAGTTCTGGTGTTGTGGCCTGGAGTCTCTGACCTGCATGAAGAACCCAGCCAGCAGAGCTCTCTTGATGTTGACCGTGTTGTTTCTGGAGCCGAACGCCGGCAGAGACACGGGCAGCTCGATCCTCTTCAGCGTGTCCATGAGCTGCGAACACAGAACCTCCGCCGTCACCAAAGCGCCGTGGTCCAGGAAGCTGTCCTGACACCATCGCTCCACGCTGCAGTCTGAGAGGACGAGAGGACACATGTGAGACGGCGTTCAGGCCTCAGGCAGGAGGACAGTGCCGGGCTCACAGGGGTCCTGCTGCATCTGCCTGAAGGCCTTGTAGATGTTGATGAGGGTGAAGTGGTCTCCCTCTGGGTGCTGGTGCTTCCTGTGGCACTGGGCCGCCTCAGGCTTCAGGTCTTTAGTGGGAACCACAAAACAAGATGGGGCTGTGGAAAGATCACAACGCAAACATGTTGGTTTGCAAATCAGGATTTAAAAATCTTAACTGGGTTATCATTTCATTTAGTCGTTCCTCGCAGATGCAGAAGGGTCTAGAACAGTGATGATCTGGGAAATGTGTGGGCAGTGGTCACCCCACTCCTTACGGAGCAATAGCTCCTTCGTGTTTGCTGTTTGATTCTCTGATCTATTGTTGAGGAATTGACAACTTAGTAAAGTCCTCCTAAACGACTGCTGTTATGTGTGTAACGGCGATAGAAAATGTAATGAATTGAATTAGGATAAAGCACTTCACTTCTTTCACATATCACTATTAGAATATTTAAAAGTAACTTCTAAGTTTTGCATTTATCATTGTTTTACATTTTAGCGGAAGCTCTTCGTAACCTGGCAACGCAATCCCAAGATTGTTATCGCGTGGGTTTGATGCTTTGTTGCTAATTAATGAAAGTGTGATTCTGAATCTGCTACAGAAATACCACACACACATGCAGGCAGCATACTGTGAGTACTGTACCTAGTATTGTGTACATGTGTATATTTACTGCAGCACCTGTGTGTGTATGTACTGCAGTACCTGTGTGTATACAGTCGTACCTGTGAGCATGGCAGCGATGATGACCATCTCGCTCACACAGTCGTACTCGCAGGAGGCCAGAAGACTCTTGGCGAGCTGCGGCTCCAGGGGCAGCTCTGACATGATGATGCCCACCTCCGACAGGTTGCCATGGTTATCCAGAGCAGCCAGGTAGTCCAGCTCCTCCAGCGCCTGCATCAGACTGCTGGGATCTGCAACCACAAACAAGACCTTGGGTACGTTCCACATGCAAGATTAAGATGATTCTGGTTCTAACATTACTGTATTAGAATGTTACAGAAGTTATAGAAGTCCTTTGACAATAGCAGCTGTTTCTGTGTCCAAAAAAATAACAAAAACTATCAGTAAATCTAAGTAAGTCCATTAGCTGCCATGTCACTTTTTTCTCTCAGAGGATCCTGGTCGTCTTTTCTCAGTCACTTTGCCTCATATATCCCACAATAGAACAATAAAAACCATCTTCCTGGTTTGCTTAAAGCCATTGAAGACCTTTGAAAAACATTTTATTTATTATATAATTTATGACAGTCCAAACATATTCCTCTCCTTCTTTAATTCCTTGTACAGTATGTGTGTATTATTTATTTAGACTGTGGTTACTTAACACAAACACATACACCATGATACGTTTTTTAAGTACTTTTAATAACTTTCAGAGCCCAGAGTGAGTTTTGCGTCACAATGAGGATTACTGTCACTGCAGCAGTTCTCTTAAAAGCTTTAGAATCATATTGTTCCCTCATGTAAAATGGAGGGAAACCAAATACAAAAAAATAAAGACTATTATTTTTCCAGCCATGGATTAATTACAGAATGTGGGATTTTTGGATTGTGCCTTTCATGTGATAATCCAAATATGTGACCTACTGAGGCCTCCTCTCAGATTAGCATGTTCATAATCCCTCCTCCCACATCTGGCATGTATCACTACGCCAATGACTCTCATCACGAATAACAAGTCCCACTGCTCATTTAGTGGCAGACCCTGGTGCAGTATGTGTAATATTTATTTATATAGCGCCTTTCACAATTGTTGTAGACATTTGTCTCTCATTCCATACAGAGAAGGGAGCGGGGTCGCCGTACAGGAGGCATACATGTTTTTAGTGGTAGAGGAAACCGGGGCACCCAGAGGAAACCTACGCAGACATGGAAAGAACATGCAAACTCCACACAGAAAGAAATCCAACCCAGGACCTTCTTGCTGTAAAGCACAAGCGCTAACCCCTGCATCACGAGTGGTTAGCCGAGTGTGAGCTGAATGAGTGGCATACACTGGTGCAGTATGAGTGTGTATGTGTGTGTGTGTATGTTTAGGAGTGGCAGACACTGATGCAGTATGTGTGTGTATGAGTGTGTGTGTGTGTGTGTGTGTGCGAGTGTGAGCTGAATGGAGCGGGAGACAAAGCCCAGGAAGCAGGTCAGCCCCAGAACAGGAGCTGTCAGATCCACTGGGCCACGCTTCAGCGGCCAACAATAACTCCACTTGTGTTCACCAGGACAACCACAGAACAACCACAGCACAGCGAGCCAAAAGGACACCGCCAATATTCCAAAAGTTATGACCACACTGCTGCTGTCACCAAACTCACTGTTTTTTACTACATTTTGATTCAAAGGAAAGATTTGGTCGCCTTTCAACAAACTGTTTTTCTTGTTCTTCACCAGTCTTATCTCTTACTAAAGGGGAGATAAGACTGTAAAAAAAACAGTTGGAACATTTCAGTTTTTCGGGGGAATTTCTCAGCTTTCCATTGGCTCTGGGAGTTCCAATAATTTCATAATTCTGGAAGTCCTCGTGGTAAATGACAGTTGGAGCTTGTCATCTGTCTCACCAGGTCGGTCGATGAAGTCACAGTGCCCCAGTCCCGCTATCTCCATCCTTTTCAGGAACAACACTGTAGACGTGATGTTTGCCTCCGTGATGAGAGGCCGAGTCTGCGCCGGAAGCTGCCTCTCCTCTGGGTACAGACAGAAGCACTTACCTGCGGAGGGAAAGGAACTTATTGAGAAAAGAAGTGTATTTTTGGATTTCTTTGTCTCAGTCCCGGTCTCACCTGTGGGTCCTGCCAGCTGCCGTCTGCTCGTGGCTTGGCCTGCACTGATTGGCTGGATGAGAACTGAGTTTGTTCTTATTCTGGGATTGTACACCTGAAACAGAATTACACAAGACAATAAGATTTGACTACATGAAAAAAGCACGTAGCCAATCTTTGAAATCAATGGTATTCTTAAGCTTAATTTTCAACAACGACAATGGGGAAAACACAACCATATTGCAACCTTTTTTATAGATTACATTACATAGTTGTACATTACATACAAGTTGAAAGGCAAAGCTCTGGATTTACTGAACAATCTACGTTTCTCTCCCTAGAAATAGATATCCCAACTTTTGTGGTTGTCATTTCTATTTGAAGACTGCAATTATTTAAGTTCTTGCAAAACCAAAAAGGGATACAAGATGAGCAAAAAAAAAACACGAATTTGAGAGAATGTTGAAGATTTGTTAATGGAACATGAAAATATCTTTAGTCTTGTTGTCGAGCAATTTTTCTGATTACTACAAACAGACAAAGCATGTTGAATATAAGAGTGTTGTGAGAAAAAATAGGCACTATTTAATAAAGCATTTATACTAGCTCATGTGTCTTATTTCTGCTAGAGAAGTGTTTGAAGGGTTATCTCTTCAAGTCTTTTTCAACTTTTACGAGTAGATATTTTTGCTCTGAACAAAATGAGACTGTTTAAACATCTTGGTCTGGTGAAGTTGGTCAGAAATATCACAGTAAGTAATATTTTTTCTCGCAGTGAGTGAGAACAGACCTGATGACACTGGGGAGTTGCAGGAATAAACAAGTAGTTTGGATTCCACTTACAAATCTCCTCTCCAGTCCTGTGTCGATGACGAAGGTGATGGAGTGGACGGCCCAGAAGAAGTCCTCGTTGGGGCTGGAAGTGAGGAAAACTCTCCTCCTGCGGCCCCTGTGAGGGGGGTCCTGGAGGCTCCCAGGGGCCCCAGGGTACACTGTGATGGGCAGCAGCTCTCCCAGAGCAGAGGGCAAACTGTCGGCCTCATGACTCAGGATCTCACAGGCCAATCGGATCTCCTGAAATCAGAGAAGAGTTTTCATCATGATCACCATGGAGACAGGACGCTGCTTGTACTATTATATATTTGTGCCCCCAAAGTTTGTGCCAAAATGTCTGACGATGCTGCCCATTTTTGTTTTCTCGACAGATTAAAAAGCAGAAATTCAAACTACTCACACATGCATGAATGGAACGACAAACATATAAGAACACATCTCTGTCACAGTTAATGAGCGTCAACAGTGGTTCTCAACTGGAGGGTAAAAAGTGGGACGTGGTTAATTATATGTTATTTAGAAAACTATTTAAATCTTACTCCATTGGCAGATTTCTTTAAATTAGCTACTGAGCTCATAGACACATTTTCTACTACCAAATGTTTTTTATTCCCTTCATTCCAGTCTGTTGGAGTTGGAGAATTTTTGTAAAACAATAAATGATTATCAGTTTTTCTACAGCACTTTTCGCCACAGTTGTGAAAATGCACTTGACGGTCAGTTGACGGCTTGGTGTTATATGTTGATGATGGGTTCCAGTCGAGGACCACTGGAGGATATTGGGTCAGATGTGCGGAGTGCTCCTTCACCTGAGTCGTGACCAGAAAGAGCAGCACGTCCCCCTCCTCCTCAGAGCCGTGGATCTCCAGCACCAGCCTGAGAGCGGAGCAGAAGTACCCTCCAGGAGCAGCGCTGTGGACCACCTCTCCCACGCCCTGGTCCTGCAGCTGGATGTGGGTGACTGCGGTGGGGGTGAGGCGGGTGAGCTGTGTGGGCTCTGGCTCTGTGGCGGTCAGCAGCACCACCCTGAGCTCTGGCCTCTGTGCACTGATCTCTCTGAGCAGAGACAGCAGGACGTCTGTGGCCACGGTCCTCTGGTGCGCCTGGTCCACCACCACCACGCCATAGTGCTCCAGCAGAGGGTCTGACATCATCTCCCGCAGCAGGACGTCATCTGTGCAGTACCTGTGTCAGAATAATAATAATGATGACAATAATCCATCTTGTCAAAAACTGCACGGTCAGCATGAAACGATTTGTTACGTGAAAATAACACACTGTATCAATCAATATATGCACATTTTCTATACATATACACATATATTTGATACTTTAAAGCAGGGGTGGCTACATTTCAAATCACAAACATTTGAACTACTGTGGTATCATTTACACATACATGTATTTATGTCCCCAGTCTCATCTATTGTCAGATTTTTCAGAAAAGTGGAAAAGACCAGCCTCACTCAGCCAATAACAATGCTTTCTGACAAGATGAAGACAGCTTGTTGTCAAGATTCAAGATTCAAGATTAATTTATGTCCTGTAGGACATTTGTCTCGGACTCACAGGCTGCTACATCAAAAATACACACAAGACAGACATACACCACAACACAGTGACACAGACATAAACATCACCGCTCTGCTCGATTCAGGAGGTTCACAGATATGGGTAGGAATCAGTTCTTATACCGGTTTAGATATCTTTTCGGCCTGATGGGAGGAGCTCATACTGAGAGTAGAGGACATGAGAAGGGTCTGAGGTGATTTTCTTTGCCTGTCTAATAACAGTCTCCTCAAATATCTGAAAATATATTTGTGGGTTGATTTGTTCTAAGCCGTTTACTTTGACATGACTCTTTCTATCGAGACAAACACAGTGCATGATCTCTGACCCCAGCTGCTTCTCCAGCTTTAATTAAAATGATTAAGTCTGTTGTGCCACGAACTGTCATTACTGAACAGCACAGTATCGTGTGGGTCTCTCGATAGCTAGCATCAGGACAAAAATAAATCCTTGGAGCTGTCGAGTTTCCCCATCTGATTAAAAGCCTATAGCAGTGTTTACAGAAGGACCAGAAGTCTCTCGGAGCCACAGAACACAGAACAAGTCAAGTTGTTTTGGATGTCACAAGGCTCCGCGTGACCCTGGCCCTGATGACACGCCTGCAGCCTCTAGCCCCGTGACATCACACTTACTGTATTGTTTACATTACCATTTTTAGAAGATATTTTAAAAAAGAAGACGTACATTGTGTTCTGAGATTTAGTCAGAAGCATCAGCCAAGACACATTTGAATTTTTGTCTTCACAATTTGCCTGGAACTAGTAAGTAAGTAGCTAAGAGTAAGCTAAGAGTAAGTGCCGGAGGGCCGAGCGGAACCCTAACCCTAACCCAGGTTGATTACGAGATCTTCAAAGATAAGTTGTGCGAGTTTAACCAGGTGCTACGTAGTACGAGAGAAAGGTATTTTTCTGAAATGATTGAAGGCTGCAGCAACAATCTGCGTGTTCTGTTCTCAACAGTTAATAGATTAACAAACCCCCCTGTTCAAATGCCATTAGAGCTTACTTCCAAACGTAAATGCAATGAGTTTGCAAATTTTTTCAATGACAAGGTTCAAGGCATCAAAAACGCCATTGTCTCCAATCCACAGATAACCATCCAACAGCCAGAAAGGCTCTCTGAGCTAACTCACTTTGCACCTGTAAATGATAAAACTGTCCAAGAGATAATCTCCAGTTTGAGCTCCTCCACATGCAGCTTGGATGTACTACCCACTAGATTTCTGAAGTCTGTTCTGAGCAGTCTGTTACCTTCACTCACACAGATAGTAAACATGTCCCTTCATTCTGGAATAATCCCAAAGGCCCTGAAAACTGCAGTCATCAGGCCCCTGCTAAAAAAGAGCAGTCTCGATGCTACGGTACTTAACAACTATCGTCCCATCTCAAATCTGCCATTTATGGGGAAAGTCCTTGAGAAAGTTGTCTACCTACAGCTTACTAGATTTCTTATAATCAACAACTCATTTGATATGTTTCAGTCCGGCTTTAGACCCCACCACAGCACTGAGACTGCTCTCGTTAAGGTTACAAACGATATCCGGCTGAACACTGACGCAGGCAAAGTCTCAATCTTAATCTTGTTAGATCTAAGTGCTGCCTTTGACACCGTCGACCATGAGATCCTCTTACAGAGACTAGAGGACTGGGTTGGCGTCACTGGCACCGCCCTAAGTTGGTTTGGGTCTTACCTTGAAGACAGGAAGTACTTTGTGGAGATTGGAAACTGTGTCTCAGATCATATGGCCCTGACCTGTGGAGTCCCACAGGGGTCGATCCTGGGACCTCTTCTGTTCAATCTCTACATGCTGCCGTTAGGTCAGTTAATACGCAGAAACGAAGTGTCCTATCATAACTATGCAGACGCACTCAGATCTATGTCTCACTGACTGCAGGAGAACATGGACCAGTGGACTCACTCCTTCACTGTATCCAACAGATCAGTGAGTGGATGCAAAACAACTTCCTTCAGCTAAACGCAGACAAAACTGAAATGATTGTCTTTGGTCCCCAGAAACAAAGAGAGAGCGTCATCTGTCACCTACAGTCTCTCTCCCTAAAACCTTCAAACAAGGTCAGAAATCTAGGGGTAATACTGGACTCAGACTTAAATTTTAATAGCCACATCAAATCAGTAACATCAGCAGCTTTTTACCATCTAAAAAACATTTCCAGGATCAAAAACATAGTGTCTAAAGCAGACTTGGAGATTCTTATCCATGCATTTGTCTCCAGTAGGTTAGACTACTGCAATGGCCTGCTCACAGGTCTGTCCAAACAGGCTGTAAAACAGCTGCAGTACATTCAAAACGCAGCAGCTCGAGTCCTGACTAGAACCAGGAAGTACGACCACATTAGTCCAGTTCTCAGGTCTCTGCACTGGCTTCCTGTGGCTCAGAGAATAGACTTTAAAACAGCTCTGCTTGTGTACAAGTCTCTCCATAGCCTCGCACCAAAATATATTAGTGACATGTTAGTCCCATACGAACCGGCCCGGACTCTGAGGAGCACAGGGACTGGACTCCTGTTAGTGCCCAGAGTCAGAACTAAACATGGGGAGGCTGCTTTTCAGGTTCATGCTTCTAAAATCTGGAACAGTCTTCCTGAAGATGTGAGACAGGCCTCCTCTCTGACAATGTTTAAAACCAGGTTAAAGACAGTTCTGTTTAGCTGTGCATACAACTGAGGGATTTTATATTTTTATCTTTCTTTTTAATGTTCTGTGATAATTTATGATTTTAATGCTTTCTTGTTTTGTTCAGCACTTTGAATTGCCTTGTGTATGAATTGTGCTATATAAATAAACTTGCCTTGCCTTGCCTAAGTAAGTGCCTGAATGATCCACAGTAAATTGAATAAAGATTGGAATAATATTAATGATAATAATAATGCATCAGTTTTATTTAGCGTTTATTTGGACACTCAAAGACGCTTCACATGTCATATTTCATTCACTCCATACACAGTGATGATAAACATCTACTGTAGCCACAGCTGCCCTGGGGCACGCTAACAGATGCTAGGCAACCAGTATGTGCCATCGGTCCCTCTGACCATCACCAGCCATTCACACACACCAGACACATTCTAGGCAATGAGGGCGAAGTGTATTGCCTAAGGACACAGCTACAGTTTGGCACTTTACAACCGCAGCCGCCTCACTGAGGCACCTGATGTTCCCAGAGGTCTCCCATCATAGAACTAACCAGGCCATGCCCTGCTTAGCTTCAGAGGTCTGACGGTCACATGCAGGTATGGACACGTTAAAACTGAGCTCGTCTTTACAAAAGCTAAGCTATGTAAGCAAAGTTAGAACTTCTCCATTCGATGTTTTGTTTTCCTGAAGTTTGAACTAAACGTAACTATTGGCAACGCAATATTTTGACTTGGTATAAAACAAGCTAATGCTGTGAACAAACAATAAAACCAAATGATGCAGAATCTTCTAAGAATGTTCAACATTCTCCATTGTCACTGTCACCACCTGTCGCCTCAGAATCACAGACTCCAACCTCCTCACTCCCCTCAGGACTAAACACCAAAACATGGGGGGCGCAGCTGCCCTCACTCTCTGGAACTCACTCCCTCAACAAATCAGAAACTCTCTCTCACTACAGAACTTTAAATCACTTCTCAAAACCCTCCTTTTTCCACCTTGCCTTTCCTTAATTGTGCTCTTCTGTGTTTATTTTATATCGTTTGTAAAGCATCTTTGAGTGTCCAAAAAAGCGCTATATAAGTTCAATGTATTCATACATATATATTATCATTATCATGTGAGGTTATTCTTCTCATTAGCTTATACATTTATCTACCAGTTTGAGAAGCAAAGAAAGCCTTAACAATGACCCGCAACAGAAAAGCACAGACTTTTCAAACAGTATCATAAATAGTCTCTCCAGATCCAGCCCATTACTGTAATTTACTCCGATAATTAATTTGCGAGAGGCTTGTGTGGGTCTTATCAGCCCTCTTCAGCGGCAGGGGGCTCCATTGTCCCTGGGCTGACTTGTGGAGAGCGTGCAGAGGCGAGAGCGTGACATATGGGAGTGCGCAGGCAGCTGTGAGGGCACTCCTGCACAGAGGGGGCTGGGGTCTTTTGTGTCCCCTATAGTGAAAGGGCACGGGTGTTTAGCATAATGTGACAGAGCAGAATGTGGGCTTCCCAAAGACACGGGGGAAGAATCGAACTGGCATAATGTAAAGCTATCTGTTAAAGCTGGGGTTCCTAACTTTTATTTCCTATGATGAATACAGAAAACAGAAAAAAAGTCTTGTAAAAGTAAAATCAGAGCACAAAAGTATGAAAATATGTGAATATTTGCGCACTTCTTTGACTTGTGAGTTACTGTTTGACAGGGCTGAGAGCTGATTGGCATTTTTCACATTTCTGAATGAAAAATCTGATTCAAAGATGTGACAGAGGCTAAAAATACAGCATGTGAACACTGGTGATAGAACCAAATCGTTTTGAGAGAGTGAGGGACGATCATAATGTGGACAGTATACGTCATGGAAAAAGTGAGGGACCCCAGCTTTAATATATATGAAAAAGATACATTTTTAGAAAATATATAAATTTTTTGCACATGAAGATATGTGCAAAAAAAAAGTTGTATCAATTGTTGTTAACTATTTGTTTATTAAAAATGTATCTTGTCTGTCTGTATGTTTATAATTGGAGCTAGAGTCTGTAGTAAAGTTGAATTGATAGATATTATACTGTATAGACTGAATGCCTCTTGAGAAGCTACTTTCAAAGGAATAAAATCATTTCAAACAACAACACAAAAACATAAACTTATACTGAAATACCAGTAAAATCATCTGAAAACTGATCATAATATGAAATGAAAATGTTGTTTTCATATATAACGGTAATAACTTCTTCTCTTCTTTTCTTACCTTAAAACTGTGTCGTTGGCAAAGCACGTCTCTAAAGGAATCCTGTACCCGACTTCATGCCCGATGTTGACGTCCATCTCGTCGGCCACGCGTAACGCCAAATCCACGGCTTGCTGTGCGTGGGTCTGCGCGCACACCACCATGCCATGTGCGTACTGCTGCGACAGACAGAACTCGGCGCACCACTGTGGAATCTGCAACACAAAACATTCAAAAGAAAAGTTTATATACCATGTCTATGCAGCAATGCTTGAAATTATGTATTATCATTATATATATATAATTTTAAACACTTACTTGAGAACTTCTCCCAGTCCTGGCGCATCCACTGAGCCATACAAACTGTTCTTTGGCCAAAACATCCATAAATGCGTTTTTGGCTTCCCACGCTGGCAACTCTTTCCTCTCCTCCAGTAGCTTGTAAAATCTTGAGGAATAAGGCAATCCATCAAACTGATTAAGCTCCAAAATATCATCAAACTCTTTGTCCACTTCTCCCAGGCTTTCCGAGTCCAAGTTAAAGTCCTCTTCAGAGTCCTGCTCCATGGCGAGTCCAGGATAGAGGCGCAGTAGGATTCGTGGGAAAGAGCGGAGAGAGGAGAGAGGTGAAGTTTGGGGAAAGGTCCTGTTCGTGATAAACGGTGAAGCCAAATGAGAAGAGCTCAGCAGGCGACCGGCCCAGTGTTGTCATGTGGTCAGTAATCCCAGAGAGCGGGCGTCAGCAGATGAGACACACACACAAGAGCGCACACACACACAAGCAAGCGCGCACACACTGAGGACAAAAGACTGGCTCCCATGCGGCTGGAACAAGTAGGAAGCCACAAGTTAATTATTCAGACTTTGGGTTCTTCATTTATGGTGGATGGAGCCTTTCTGCATGGAGATTGCATACTCTGTGTAGGTTTCCTCCAGGTGCTCCGGTTTCCCCTACCACTGAACACATGTACAATAGCTCCCCACTCTCTGGAGCAAGGATTCCCCTGAAAAAGAGATTCTAAAATCTCAGTGAGACTTTCCTGGTTAAATAAATATCAACAAAACCAATACATATGCCTTAACTAGATAATACCCTCTCCCATTGCAGCACTGAGTAATCTAATGTTCAAATATACAGCATTGTGTGAAAGAAGCTGTAAAACATTCACCATCAACAAGTGAAAAAAAAGTGTGTTTTATTTGTCTGTATCTTGTGGTGTCTTTGTATTGTCTGTTATATGGACCTTGAGTCTGGAATGAATTATTACTATTATTATTATTATTATTATTATTATTGTGACCATAGCAGTCTCCATAGTAAGTGGCAATGGCAATAAAAACATTTGTAACCATCTCTACCACCGCTCCTCCCATCAAACTGTAATGACCAACATCTCCCTAAAGGTGGCAGACTTGTACAGCTATAGCATTACCATCAGTGAGGGTCTTCTTTACAGGCCAATAGCTTTCACTTTGGGAATTTATGAGAGAAAAAAAGAGACAGACATAAAGATGTGGTAAAAAAGATTGATTTGCAATGGCTTTGATCATGTTAGAGTTACACATGTTTTTATGATAATCTCTCTCTTTTCCTCCTCCTCCGTTGTTGTTGTTGAGAGAGATCTGACTTTTACATTTATATTGCTTTCTGTGTATGCATTTCTTTTAATGCTTTCTTAACATCATGGCCAGGTGAAAATAGGCATTGGCTATTTTCAAACCAGGATAGATCTTGATCATGTGTGGTGTTATAATTTCACTTTTCCCTTTTATATGAACAAATCATTTAAATGTACATATATAATGTACATTATTATGTACATATAAATGTCATAAGCGCAATGTACACATGATATGAAATAATTGTATTTCTTGTTTTCTTCTGGCACAGACACTGCCACACCACACAGGTGAGACATCTTGGCCTGAGCTGCCTGCTGCTGCTGCTGCTGCTGCTGCTGCTGCTTCCTCAGCCGGTTCTTCTTCTGTGAGGGCTGGACCTTCCCCTGCTTCTGCACCTACAGGTGGGCTTTTTTTTAATCATTGTTTTATTTTTTATTCTTTTTACAGGACTGTTTATATAAACATAATGTTACTGCATAATATGCCAAAATTACCCAAGGGCTGTTACATCAGTGTAGACGACAAATTTACAGAGAAACACCAGATGTCAAGGCACTACAGGTGGAAAGAAGCTTTGGTCTGATACAACACATCTTCCCTCTTTCTTCGATAAAAACATACTACTGAAATACCTTATGCTATAAAAGTACTGAACAAATACATGCAATGGTTGCCACAAGATGGCAGATCTCTCTCTTTTCCTCCTCTTGTCTTCCTCCGTTGTTGTTGTTGAGAGAGGATCTGCCATCTTGTGGCAACCATTGCATGTATTTGTTCAGTACTTTTATAGCATAAGGTATTTCAGTAGTATGTTTTTATCGAAGAAAGAGGGAAGATGTGTTGTATCAGACCAAAGCTTCTTTCCACCTGTAGTGCCTTGACATCTTGGTGTTTCTCTGTAAATTTGTCGTCTACACTGATGTAACAGCCCTTGGGTAATTTTGGCATATTATGCAGTAACATTTTGTTTATATAAACAGTCCTGGGTAAAAGATATAAAAATAAAACAATGATTAAAAAAAGCCACACCTGTAGGTGCAGAAGCAGGGGAAGGTCCAGCCCTCACAGAAGAAGAACCGGCTGAGGAAGCTAGCAGCAGCAGCAGCAGCTGCAGCAGCAGGCAGCTCAGGCCAAGATGTCTCACCTTGTGTGGTAGGTGGCAGTGTCTGTGCCAGAAGAAAACAAGAAATACAATTATTTCATATCATGTGTACATTGCGCTTATGACATTTTATATGTACATAATAATGTACATTATTATGTACATTTAAATGATTTGTTCTTGTTCTATATAAAAGGGGAAAAGTGAAATTTAAAAACCACAACACATGATCAAGATCTATTTGTCTCCTGGTTTGAAAATCAGAGTGCCATGGTGGTCCGTGTGGAATCACAGCGCTAGAATTGGCCGAGGAGCCCCACGGTGAGTCTGACACATGAACCCAAACATTTTATACTGCCAAAAGCCCGTTCCCGCAACTGTTTACCAGCAGAAGACACTTTAAAAAGGCATCAACTTTTGGTATTTGTTAAACAATGGATCCTGTTCCACCTTAACGTGGTTCACCATTTGTGCCGCAATGTTTAGTTGTAATTTTTTTTGTTTTTCTCCCCACACGGCTTCTAACACTACATAAACCCTAGTAAAAACATGGCATTTTATATTAAGTCAAAAGAAAACTGTTCAGCAGTTAGACTACTGCAGTCTTACCTCCTTCAGTCCAGCTCGTTGCCGCCTCTGTGTGGTGTCCTCTGCAAGCGTATTTTACCAGTGTAAGCACAGCCTTTGACAGCTGCAGACGCTCAGACCTACACCCACAGATTTATATCAAAGACCTTACATCAGCAGTCATGAGTTCAGGTGGTTAGAAAAGGTGTAATGTAAAAGTGTGTGGAGGTTTTACAGCTACAACATATAGGCTGCCACTTCAATGATTTATTTTATTGTGGATTAATTTTAGAAGGTTGCCTCAGTGATAAAATGAGGACCCCCTGCGTTTCTACAAAATATAGCAGGTTTTCATTTATGCAGTGGCCTGTAGTTGATAGTGAAATGCCAGACGGTCAGCGAGAGCACACATTCATCGTAGTCCCAATGCCAGCTTCTAGTGTTTGAGGAAGCCTAAAAATAGACACCCACAACAACCAAAGCTCTCTGTTCACAGTTTATATAATGTGTTCTAAGCAATAGACCTGTTGTGGTGTGCTCTTGCAGCTCTGAGTGACATGCACCCCATGAGAGCGCTCTTCCTCATCCCCAGGAACCCTCCTCTCCTCGCCTCAAGTCCAAGAAGTGGTGAGTGGGACCTCCTGTCTACGCGGCTCACTGTTATCTGCCCTATGTTTATCAATCCCTCAGAAGCTGCCATTTCCTTTAAATAACTGATGACCGAGAAGCGTAAAAACAATTAGAATATACAATTTAACTTCTTTTGTTCCAATATATTCACCGGCAGCCTTTTGTATACACTCACACATTCACCCATCCCAGCAGTATACACTCACATTATATACTGGCAACTTGTACAAGGACTAGAATCCCATCAACATCAGATTCTTAGTAAAAGTTGACCATATAAAGGTTTGTATGTGTGTATATTTATTTTTTTAACTGACTGAGTGTTTAGTTAGGTACATTTGTACAATTACACAGTCACACACAGGAAGGTAGACGGCCCACACAAACATACCGACATAGACCGCTCACACGCACACACACAGTGTCCTGGCGTCACAGTCATGATTTGTCAGAAGCGCTTGAAAGAAGGATGGTAAGTTAAACAAGTAGCAGTCAGTGGGCGGTCCCCCGTGCATTTCAGGCGAGTCGCCTGCAGTGAATGTGGATACAATTCCTGGTGTTTATGCTCATAAGGAAATAAGAAATTGTAAAATTCATCAAATGTTTTAAAATTTACCAGGCCAGTTTTAATGGCGCATCACACCGATCATGCGTTGCGACGACTTTCCAATCAAAGACAATGGTGACTTCGACGCGTTGAACTGGCATGTGCGTCACGGGATGCACGCAACAGACTAGAATTTGCGCGCAGAGGCGCAGGGCAGAAAATTGACCCACTCAGGAGAATAAATATTGCTGAGCCTTGGGACAGCATTGTGCAGCGACCAATCAGAGATGCTGCAAAGAGTTGTCACGGACATTAGCGGTCCCGAGCGAAGCCAGACTGAACCTACTCGTAAAACACCAAAACATGAGCCCTAACCAGGACTAAAACCAGGTTGACAATGGTGGACTTATGCTTGTGAACATATACCATGCTCCCGTGACCTTATGCAACTGCTCCAATTGTGGTTCGCAAGATGAGGAAGTAACCCCGTTTAAATAATATGAAAAACGTATGGCTCACCTCCATGGACACCACATAACCTGCTATTAATCTAGACAAGTGCAACACTAGCATTCAGGACCCAGTTTTTGAGCATTAATGTTGGAAAGGTCTACTACAATATAAGAATAGCGGTGAGTTTTAATAGAGTTCCTGAGTTTCTTACCGGTGTGAGTCGCAGGACCGTTATTATAAAAGATCCATGGCAGGACGCGGCTCCGTGACTTCTGCATAAGCCTACTCTGCAAGGTTGGCTTTTTCACAAACTGTTCCATCGGCATTTTAGCCTCTAGCTTCTGCAGCAGCCCGTGTTTGCTCTGGTCGGGGCAAAATCCTGGCTCCTCCAGGTCTGTCCTCTGTTTTTCCTTGAAAAAAGGCGTTCTACTGTATCTACGCAGAACGATATATTCCACCTCCTTCATCCGTAGAGGATTGAATAACTAAAACTCGTGCTTTACATATTAGCATTTGTTTTTTGTTTCTTCTGTTTTTTCACATGACCGAGATCCATGCGGTCCAGCATTGTCACGTCTCTATAAAATCGTGTATCCAATCGGATAAGAGGGGCGCCTGCTCCCTTGACGCCGCACAGGGCCAGCTAGCGGCCCTCAGTAAAAACACTTCACACTAGATTGGTTAATGGCCGGGGAGGCAGGGGGGGGGGGTTAGGTGGTTTCATATAGTGACGTAGGGGGTAAGCAATTGGTTTGTAGAGTCTGCAAGGCCGTAAGGCAAATTTTTGTGCCATAGGCAACACATGACCAGCCGGAGAAAGATGGGATAAAAACTCTGTTAGAAACGCCAGACCTCCCAAATGGTCGACCCTGAAGTTTGGAAGCTGCGGCCAACCAACGTAGTTTGGAAAAAATAAACATAGAGAAACAAATTAAATATTAAGAAAAAATTATATATATTCTGATATATATGTATTGTAAATGTATGTAATCCATGTAGGAGTCCCCCCACTGGAAATCAATAGTTTTGTAGTGCACATCATAGACCCATCGTCACACAGAAACAGCTCTTTACACAATGTTTCACTAACACAACAAAACAACCCCAGGGGGGGGGGTTTTTGTTTTTCTGAACTACACAACTGCTGCTGTATAATCTTATGCTTTGTTTGGCTGCAGGTCTAAAATGTTCTTCAGCTTCATTGAGGGCTGGCCTAGTGAAGAACTACACCCAGCGGGCCGCCCACAGACCAGATCCTCAAGCACCCCCCTTCATCCGGGTCCAGCCCTCACGAGAGGCAGTCCGCATCCAGCTCAAGGACCACATCGACCGCACCAAGAAAAAGAGGCGAGAAGGGTATGCTCCACAATGCCACTGGCATTGCAAAAGGAGAAGACATGTTTTATCAGCCAAGTGTTTCATTTTAACTCGATTTGATTGCTTTTGTTATATTGAAAAACATACTCTCTCACCACGTTATCATATTAGACATAGACCAAATGGGTATAAAAGAGAACATTTCAGAACGAGGGTTACGTATGTAACCACGGTTCTATGAATCCCGGATGACCGCCAGAGGGCGGTGCATAGCACTGAATGTTCCCTTCGCGCATGCGCAGTTCGAGTAATAATACCAAATGAGTCACACCTGTGACCCCCTGGGTGACACACCGGAGGTAATAAAGTCCAGCGTCATCCAGCACTCTGTTCCTGCAGAATCTTCTCGCGGATGCAAGGACCCTGAGTGACAGAGCGCCTCTGGCGGTCATCCGGGATTCATAGAACCGTGGTTACATACGTAACCCTCGTTCTATTTCATCCCTTCAGACCGCCAGAGGGCGGTGCATAGCACTGAATGACCTTATACCAGCTATGTCACGAAGGAACTTGACCACACACCTCACGGAGGAGAGCCAGAGGATTCCTGAAGGACCACGCCAAGAGGAGCCGGAGTGGCCACATTGATGTTATAGAATCTGGTGAACGTGCTCGGTGGTAGCCCAAGACGCAGCAGCACAAATAGTTCCCAACGGCACCCCGCGCATAGCGGCCCAGGAGGTAGAGACACCCCTGGTAGAATGGGCCCTCACCGTGGCTGGCGGGTCGCGGCCGGCCGAAATATACGCCTGACTGATAACGTCAACCACCCAGTGGGAAAGGCGTTGCTTCGAAAGCGGACTCCCCAGTCTAGCACCACCATAAGCAACAAAGAGCTGGTCTGAGCGCCTCACACCTGCCGTCGCAGCAACGTAGGCCTCCAATGCCCTCACAGGACACAGCAGGTGCAGTCTGTCCTCACCCCCATCCAGGGGGGACACAAACCGCGCCAACCTCAAAGGCCGGTTACAATAGTCACGGGAAAGCACCTTAGGGAGGAAAGTGGGATTAGGCCACAAGACCACGCCAGCCCTCTCAGGGTCCCAGTGTAGGCATGAGGGACTGACAGAAAGTGCATGTAACTCACCGACCCTTTTTGCAGAGACCACAGCCAACAGGAAAGCAGTCTTATAGGAGAGCCACTTGAGGTCCGTTCGGGCCAATGGCTCATACGGAGGGCGGCAGAGAGACTCCAACACCAAGGCCAGGTCCCAAACCGGAGACCGCGCGGGCACGCGAGGGTGCAGCCTACGAGCTCCGCGTAAAAAGAGAGACACCAGGTTATGGCCCCCCACAGTACAGTTATCAACCAGGCCATGATAACATGAAATAGCAGCAACATATACCTTCAGAGTAGATGGGGCCCGACCTTCATCCAGGAGAGACTGAAGGAATTCCAGGACAACCGCCACCGGGCACGACACGGGATCCCGACCGCGGGAAGAACACCAGCGGGAGAACAACTTCCACCTGTTCTCATACAGCCGCCGAGTAGAGGCCGCCCTGGCATTCAGGAGTGTACGCCTGACAGGGCCAGTGACATCGAGTGCCCGCAGCTCGGGCCAGCCAACGGCCATACCCATAACTTGAGGCGGTGAGGACAGGGATGCCACACCTGACCGTCCAGCTGTGAGAGCAGATCCCGCCTGGGAGGGAGAGGCCAGGGGGGAGCCCAACAAAGTCTGAGTAGCAGTGGAAACCAGGGCCGTGCAGGCCAAAACGGAGCCACCAGTAATAAACTGTGCCCCGCCCGAAGGACCCTCTGGAGGGTTGGCCAGATCAGAGGAAAAGGGGGGAAAGGCGTACAGGAGGGCCTGAGGCCAACTGTGCGCCAGGGCATCCTGGCCGAGAGAGCCCGGAACCCCGTCCAGGGAAAAAAACTGAGGGCAATGAGTGGAGGCCACCGAAGCGAACAGGTCCACCTGTGCCCGACCAAAGAGGCCCCACACCCTCTGGACCACACCGGGGTGGAGACACCATTCCCCCGGGGCAGGCCTCCCGCGAGACAGGGAGTCCGCCACGCGATTGCAGTCCCCTGGCAGATACGCTGCACGCAGTGTAGCCAGGCGAGGCGCAGCCCAAACCAGCAGAGCCTGAGACACCTCGAGGAGCCGAGCCGATCGGACACCCCCTTGATGGTTGATGTGATACACGACCGAGGTGTTGTCCGAACGAATGAGGACATGTTTCCCCAGCAGGTGAGGCAAAAACTCCTGGAGAGCAAGGTGGACGGCCCGAAGCTCCAGTACATTTATGTGGTCTGAGCGCTCCGCCCGAGACCAAACCCCTCGGGCCAACCTGCGCTGCCACACAGCACCCCATCCCGTACGGCTGGCGTCGGTGGTGACCACTTCCCTGCGGCACACTACCACCCCCAAGGGGACCCCACGTGACAGGAGACCGCGGTCCCTCCATGGAGCCAAAGCACGAAAACATGCCCACGTCACCTGTAACCGTCTGTGGCGGTGACGAACGGCATCCAAACGAAACCCGTTCAGCCACCTCTGCAACGGGCGAAGCGAAAGCAGCCCGAGTGGAACCACACGAGAGATTGAGGCCAGCTTCCCCACCAGCTGTAGAAAGCTGACGTAACTGTGCAGGGTGCCAAGACCGAAACGGGACACCACACCGTGGATGTCGACCAGGCGGCGCACCGACGGACGCGCCGTCATAGTCACCGTGTTCAGACTCAGGCCAAGAAAAACAGCGGCCTGCGAAGGTACCAGGCTGCTCTTTTCGAAATTGACCCTGAACCCCAAGCGGGCGACATGAGTCAGAAGGCGCTCCGTATCTTCCAAGGACCGTGCCCTGGACGGGGCGCAGATCAACCAATCGTCCAGATAAGGCAACACCTTCATGCCACTGGCCTGCAGCGGAGCAAGAGCCGCCTTCACGCATCGGGTGAAAACCCTCGGAGAGAGAGAGAGGCCAAAGGGAAGAACCCTGAACTGCCAGTGAACGCCCCGATAGGCGAACCGGAGGAACCGCCGGTGGGGCTGCGCAATGGGCACGTGAAAATACGCGTCCCTCAAATCTACGGACGTGAACCATTCCCCGGCCCCAACAGTCTGAAGGACTTCCGCAGTCGTCAGCATGCGAAATGGAATGACCTTCAGGAAATGATTCAAGCCCCTCAGATCCAGAATTGGTCGAAAACCCCCCGTCTTCTTGGGCACGAGAAAATAACGGGAGTAATAACCCCTGGGTTGCAGCAGCGGATCTACCGCCTCGATGGCACCCTTGGTCAGGAGGGCGGAGAGCTCCTGATCCAAGATAAAGGCTTTTGCCGGGTCCGAGAACAAAGTAACCTTGACCCGGCCCGACAAGTGCGGCCGGCGTCGGAATTGCAGACGGTATCCGTGGGTCAATGTGGCAACCACCCACGGATCCCGAGCTCGAGCAGCCCAACACTCGAGCTGCTGATGGGAAAAATGTCCGACGCTCGGCCCTGAGGCGTCAATTCCGTGCCCCCCGCCCCCTAGGGGCTCTGGGGGGACCCCGCCCAGGACCAGCCGCGGCGCCACTTGGCTGGCGGGTCGGGCGCCTATGTACGGGTGGGGCACGAAAATTCCCGGCAGGCCTGACCTGGGGAAAACGCTGAGCACCAGACCAATCCCGAGGAGGCTGCCGAACACCGGGGGCCACCATCGGGCGCAAAAACTGCCGGGGAGGGCGCACCACCCTGCTAAGGCTAGAAAGTTGCTGTCTAGTCTGACCAGCATGGACAGTCCGGTCCAATGCTTCCTGGGCCGCCGTCCCAAACATCTGACCCGGCTCGACAGGCACGTCACGGAGGGTCCTACGACAGGCCTCAGTCAGGGGAGACTGAGCCAGCCATACCTGCCGACGAGCCTGTACAAGGACCGACATGACCCGTCCGAGTTCCCTGGTCATCAAGGCAAAAGCATGCAGAGCTGCGTCGCTAAACGCAGTAACATCAGTGCCCACAGCACTACCCTCTTGGAGGGAGGCAGACAGGGCAAGCAGCAGATGCGCTAAGGAGTTACCAATACGGCCAGCTCGAGCACCAGAATTGTAGGCCTTTGTTAGCAAGTGATCCGTCGCACGACACTGGCTCCGAGGGCACCTCACATTCTCCCGCAAGGACTCCTCTGGAGAAACAATGAGGGAGGCAACCGCCGGCTCAACAGCCGGCATGCAATCCAGACCAGCCGAAGAGGCATCGTGCATCGCGGCCAAAGCCCGACCCTCAGCCGACAGCTTAGAGAGACGGCTGGGGTCCCTCCAGCACGCGTGTAGCTCCTTCAGATACTCCGCGGACGGGGGCACAACAAAAGCAGGAGACGAACCACCACGCCTGAAAAAAGCACTGCCAGGGTCAGCCTGTCCCGACTGGGGAAGTTCCACCTGCAGACGGGATAAGGCCCTGCGAAGAACCTCCTGCATTGAGCCGTCACCAGACCGGCTGGACACACTATGTGCGGAAGAATAAGCATCGTCCCCCGAAAGGGACCGCGCGTCATCCTCGTCCCGGAAGCACGAAGCAGATGCCGCCAGAGAAAGCACATCCTCTTCCGGATGGAGGGATGGCATGGAGCAAGAACCAGCCCCAGAGACGGCATCAGCAGCACAACGTGCCTGGAATGCAGATTTCATCGCCTCCAACTCTGCAGATAACTGCTCCACCCTCGACACCAGGACAGTATCCGGCTTGGCCTGCTTGGAAGGACCATGGCCATCAGACCGCTCCCCCGAAGCACAGGCCTCAGCACGGCGCTTAGAACGCCGAGGGGGCGGAGCCACAGCAGGTCCCACTGGCAAACTACCACCGTCGCCAGACGAAGGCAGCTGAACCAGCCTCGCCACCCTAACAGCCCAGGGCAAGCAGCTGCAGTTCATGCACGGGTTATCGGACACTGCCTCCCTCAAGTGAGTGGGGCCGAGGCACGCCGGACACAGGTCATGGCCGTCATCAACATCGAGTGCTGACCCGCAGCCCACACACGCATGTGACCCGTCCATAACAAGGTTGTTTTTAATTAAATTATTATTCTTGTTTTGTCTGTCTGTGTCGTTAATTCAATATGGAATTAATCCCAAACGGTATACAAACTGCAGAACTGAATCAGCGTACTGCAGTTTCACAACAGAAAAGCCAAATATAGCACGGTGGAGGAGCGGACGCGCGAACAGCAGCCTTCACACCACACAATGCACCCGCAGCAAAATGCCACTCGAATAAAGTAGTGATGGAGGAGAGGGCGCGCGAACAGCAGCCTTCACACCACACAATACACCGGCAGTAAAACGCCAACTCAAAAATAAAGTAGTGATGGAGGAGAGGGCGCGCTAACAGCAGCCTTCACACCACACAATACACCGGCCACAGACTAAACACAGGCAGCAAATGCTAACCCAAACAAGAACTGATGGAGGAGCGGGACAACGAACCGCAGCCTTCACGCCACAGAGGACACCGGTAACAAAAACTAACCCAAAGAAGAACTGATGGAGGAGCGGGCGCGCGAACAGCAGCCTTCACACCACAGAGGACACCGGTAATAAAAACTAACCCAAAGAAGAACTGATGGAGGAGCGGGCGCGCGAACAGCAGCCTTCACACCACAGAGGACACGGGTAGCAAAAACTAACCCAACTAAGAACTGATGGAGGAGCGGAACCGCAGCCTCACACCACACAATACACAGGTAGCAAAATGCTAACCCAAATAAGAACCGATGGAGGAGCGGGCTAACGAACCGCAGCCTCACACCACTCAATACACAGTTAGCTAAGCTAACTCAAACATGCACAGGCGGAGGAGCAGGCCAACGAACCGCAGCCTTCACACCACGAAATGCATGTACCAAAAGAAAGTACTGACGGAGGAGCGGGCGCCACAGCAGCCTTCACACCAACCAATACACACGTATAAGACAGAAAACACCAATAAATACCCGAAGGACAACGTCACCGTCGCGCCCCACGGAGGGCGAACCGCAGCTCCGATGAAGAGGGCTTTCAGCGACAGACGTTGACAAAGTTCAAGCAACAACGATTCGAACCGCACGCGAGAAGAAAAAAGGAACAGAGTGCTGGATGACGCTGGACTTTATTACCTCCGGTGTGTCACCCAGGGGGTCACAGGTGTGACTCATTTGGTATTATTACTCGAACTGCGCATGCGCGAAGGGAACATTCAGTGCTATGCACTAGTGATGGCAATATGAAGCCCCATGAAGCCTTGAGGGATAGCAGCCTATTACTCGGCCCATGAGTCGAAGGCTCGAGGTGAATCATGCTCCACTACGCCATCATGTGGACAAAAAAATACATAACACTCTTAAGTGCTTACAATGAATGGTGAGATCTAATGTTAAAATGTATATTTACAATCTATGGTCTAACGTGTTGTGTTTGAAATGATGCTTCATGAACTATGAACTATTTCAGTCTTTCAGTCAATTGTGTTGATACAACAAACACATCCAAAGTAATACAGTTCTACAGAAAGTGATTAATGGAGGAAAAACTACCAAGAGGTGGATTAATTAAACACAACAAACCATTTATTCCCAATAAATAAATACATTTACTTTGCAACACAAAATTTATTATGGGTAGACCAGGATTCGAACGCTATATCTTCTGCTTCGGAGTCCGTCATATACCGACTGCGCCACACAGCTGTTGTGAAATGTATTATCCAGCGTATTATTACTAATAACTTGAAGCCTTGATATATGAGGTTTTACTAAAGTGAAACGTTTTTAATCTCTATACTTAGTACAGGACTGCTCCACATCACGCACACACACGTACGCACACAGAGGCAGACGGGGACAGCCGCGGATCACAAAGCACCTGTCAAAGCAATGCACTCTCCAAACTATATGAAGCACTATATGAACCGTCACGTGGTGCGGGCGCTACGCGAGGCTTCGAACGTCACCACATACGTCACCAACACACGCCTCGAACCACGCTTCAAAAAATACGCCCCTTTTTCACTCGGTACACGCTTCGAAGACCCGGCACGCTCAGCACATCACTACTATGCACCGCCCTCTGGCGGTCTGAAGGGATGAAATAGAACAAGAATGGCGGCGGGTACACTAACTAGCTAAGTGTGCTTCGAGCGCTAAACAGAGGATAATTCTACTCCTTCGTTCGTCCAAACGAGACCACGCAAAGCTCTAGATTCAGTTTCTATTTTCGCAGCTGCTGTTAAAATGCAGAATAATCTTGGTGCATCGTTCACGTCTTCCAGAGGAAGTGAGTATACTGCTGGGGGGGGCTGGGGGTTGCGTGTGTCGTGTTGTAAAGTTCCTCTGCCCACTACTGTCCGGGCGCTAGAACTACATCGTTTTTGATACTTGTACGAACGCTGTGAAATTTGCATTAGGAGCCTGGCCGTTTCTGTTAATAGCCTGGAAACGTCTGCGCAGCACCTCCGTATAAACTCAGCCTTTTGAGATCCAAACTAATCGATTCATTGAAAGAATAATCTGCAAACTAATAGATCACTACAATAGATTATTGCCCTAATTCTTTCTCACATATTGGTTGACTGCAGCTATAATGTATGCATAAAAAATATAAACACTACTTCACTACTGAACAGTTACAGTGTACATTTTGTCTTTTACCTTTAGTACATAACTCAGAACATGTCGGCATCGCTCTTCTTTATCTTGAGAGACGGGAAAAGAACAGTTCGGCTGCGGGGCAAACGAGAAACAAGACATAAGATGATACAAAAGTTGAGACAGGTTTTGTAACGGACGCAGGTCTTACTCTCTGCTGCGTGGACTTGTACTTCTCAGGCACAGAGAGCTCCACCACCGAGCGGATGATGGCCACGGCCTGACTGTCCCTCTGAGCCCGCGAGTAGGAGCTGCTGCTGTTGTCGTCGCTCTCCTCCGTCAGCTCCTCCTCCTCCTCTCGCTCTTCGTCGCTGTAGCTGTCCTCTGACCCCCCGGCCCGCAGAGACTCGCCCTCGTCCCCCTCGGTGGGATTGTCCAGCTGGAAGAGCTCCGACAGCATGTAGTTGGCCGAAGCGATGATCTGGACCAAGCAGAAAAGATGAGCCACAGGTTGGGAGTTAGTAAGGCAAGGGAAGCTTATTTGTATAGCACAGTTCACACAAGAAGATGAAATCCCTCAGTTGCATGCAGCTAAAACGAACCTGGATTTGAACATTGTCAGAGAAGAAGCCTGTCTCACATTTTCAGAAAGAGCAGACTTTAGCTGCGTGAATCTGAAATGCTGCCTCCCCAATGCTGAGTCCCGTCCCTGTGCTCCTCAGATTCCAAGTTGGTGTATATGGGACTAACATGTCACTTACAGTGCCTTGCGAAAGTATTCGGCCCCCTTGAACCTTTCAACATTTCGCCACATTTCAGGCTTCAAACATAAAGATATAAAATTTTAATTTGTTGTCATGAATCAACAACAAGTGGGACACAATCGTGAAGTGGAATGAAATTTGTTGGATAATTTAAACTTTTTTAACAAATAAAAAACTGAAAAGTGGGGCGTGCAATATTATTCGGCCCCTTTACTTTCAGTGCAGCAAACTCAGTCCAGAAGTTCAGTGAGGATCTTTGAATGATCCAATGTTGTCCTAAATGACTGATGATGATAAATAGAATGCACCTGTGTGTAATCAAGTGTCCGTATAAATGCACCTGCTCTTTGATAGTCTCAGGGTTCTGTTTTAAAGCGCAGAGAGAACCATGAAGACAAAGGAACACACCAGGCAGGTCCGAGATACTGTTGTGGAGAAGTTTAAAGCCGGATTTGGACACAAAAAGATTTCCCAAGCTTTAAACATCTCAAGGATTACTGTGCAAGCAATTATATTGAAATGGAAGGAGTATCAGACCACTGCAAATCTACCAAGACCCGGCCGTCCCTCCAAACTTTCATCTCAAACAAGGAGAAGACTGATCAGAGATGCAGCCAAGAGGCCCATGATCACTCTGGATGAACTGCAGATAACTACAGCTGAGGTGGGGATGGTGTGTTCAGGGTGATGAGCTGTGTTGCTTTTACGCCAAACATATCGTTTTGCATTGTGGCCAAAAAGTTTGATTTTGGTTTCATCTGACCAGAGCACCTTCTTCCACATGTTTGGTGTGTCTCCCAGGTGGCTTGTGGCAAACTTTAAGAGACTTTTTATGGATATCTTTGAGAAGTGGCTACTCTTCCATAAAGGCCAGATTTGTGCAGTGCACGACTGATTGTTGTCCTATGGACAGACTCTCCCACCTCAGCTGTAGTTATCTGCAGTTCATCCAGAGTGATCATGGGCCTCTTGGCTGCATCTCTGATCAGTCTGCTCCTTGTTTGAGATGAAAGTTTGGAGGGACAGCCGGGTCTTGGTAGATTTGCAGTGGTCTGATACTCCTTCCATTTCAATATAATTGCTTGCACAGTGCTCCTTGAGATGTTTAAAGCTTGGGAAATATTTTTGTATCCAAATCCGGCTTTAAACTTCTCCACAACAGTATCTCGGACCTGCCTGGTGTGTTCCTTTGTCTTCATGGTTCTCTCTGCGCTTTAAAACAGAACCCTGAGACTATCAAAGAGCAGGTGCATTTATACGGAGACTTGATTACACACAGGTGCATTCTATTTATCATCATCAGTCATTTAGGACAACATTGGATCATTCAAAGATCCTCACTGAACTTCTGGACTGAGTTTGCTGCACTGAAAGTAAAGGGGCCAAATAATATTGCACGCCCCACTTTTCAGTTTTTTATTTGTTAAAAAGGTTTAAATTATCCAATACATTTCGTTCCACTTCACGATTGTGTCCCACTTGTTGTTGATTCATGACAAAAAAAAATTTATTTTATATCTTTATGTTTGAAGACTGAAATGTGGCAAAATGTTGAAAGGTTCAAGCGGGCCGAATACTTTCGCAAGGCACTGTATATACTTTGGTGCAAGGCCATGGAGAGATTTGTAACAAACAGAACTGATTTAAAGTCTGTTCTCGGATCCACAGGAAGCCAGTGCAGATCCTGAGAACTGGACTGATGTGATTGCACTTCCTGGTTCTAGTCAGGACTCGAGCAGCAGAAATTTGAATATACTGCCACTGTTTAACAAGTCAAGTCTGATGAAAGTCTGTGAGAATCCACTGTCTGAGGATTTACCTGAGGATGTTTTTCCTGGTCCAGAAGTTTGATACAGTTGAGGAGCAGAGTTCTGACTGTGCCATAGTGCTTTCGGTGTTGATGGGTTTTGAGCACCAAGTTGCTAGCCACTCTAAAACATAAACAGCAATGCATCATTTCTCATCCAGATAAAAAATATCCAAACACTGTGATTATATTGCATCTAAAAACAATATTTTTTTTCATTTCATTTCATTTCATTTCCTCTTAATCGGCCTGACCTGTTTGAGGTATGTTCCCTACACAGTAGTTTGTATTGTGGCAGGCCCCTGAGCCAGGCTTGTTACACTATGATAACAGTCAAAAGTCTATTTTTTAGTCTTAGTTTAGAGCTAATTCCTCCTATTCCTGGGCCAGTCCACATGAAACAACTTGTCATCTTCTTTATCCGTAAAAATCAACTGTGGTCTAATTATTTTCTTATAAAAAGGTGTCTATAGGTGGTGACAACATTCAAAAACATATGTATGATGTAGACTCGTAGAAAGGACTTTTAGACATAAGAAATAATAAAGCTGGTTTGTGCATCAAATAATGATCTGGAAAAACATTATGAAAAATAGGAAAGGCATTTTAAAATGTTTTCTCTTATTTCCCATTTTTGTCTTTCCTATTGGCACCTGACCTGCAACAGAACTACAATTCTATAGCATGAAAAAATCCAAAATTTCACCTTTCTCTTAGTTTGGTTAAGGAGGTGGTAAGGTCTAAGATGGAAAAAACACTAAGTCCAATCATGATTAAACATTAAGCCCACCACTCAACTTAAAAAAGATAAATAAAGTATCATCAGTGAAGGAAGGATGCTCATTTTGAACAGCCGCTATATTTCCCCCAAAGCCAAAATCCAGTTGACCTACTTGTAAAGTAAGACAGCCACCGGCAGAGTGAAGGGATTCTGACACTCCTCCTCTGCCTCCTCACACAGCGTCGTCAGATCATAAAGCTTCACGATGTCGCTCCCACTGGCTGAAAAAACGTATCAGACCCTCATCAGAAATCTACATTTGGAAAAAAGGGGCATGAAGCTGCGTTAAGACGAGGGTGGAACCTTTGAACAGCCAGTACGTGTGTCCCTCTTTGGTGCAGTTGGACTTGAGGAAGGAGAGGATGTTCTGGGCGATGTCTTTTATCACTCGAGTCGAAAATGTGGATTTTTCCAGATGAGGGATGTCTTCGGTTTTTATGATTTCGTATTTCTGCCGACAACAAAACAAATAATGCATTAAGAGAAAGGGACACTGTGAGAAAGGGAAGGTGTATTTTGAGTTGAGCGTTCATTCGTTTTGAGCTCAATGCCACAACCTAGATTTTTTAAACATATTATTCATTGAAAATAATTTATAAGATTGTACATGATTCAAACTGGAGTGGAAGGAAGAAAAAACATACAAATTCCCACCCTGTGAATATCATACTTACATCTGTGTGTTTGGAGCCAGTAGCAGCAATGTCCAACAACACGACAACAACAAGCAGCACCATGAACCAGACCCGGCCGAGCACGACGCAGCAGGCAACAAACCATCAACGCACCAAATCTCCAGCCAGAACTATACATACCTTACCCCATAGATGACAGGCCACGTTCAGTCAATACCACTATTTTTGTTTTTATTGTAATTATTTCTTACCAGGCAGAATATTTGACAAAGTTAGAATACTTGGTCAAACTGATAGTGATAATATTTTATATTAAAATTAAAATTACATATACTACATAATACATAATTTTCAGTGTATTTTCAGTGCAATGGGAGAAAGATAGTGACATTTTGTGTTAAAGTGTGTGCTCAGTGCTGTATAATAATAGCAGTACCTGAACAATGCCGTTGACGTGAAAGCACATGACCAGCTCCGGAACGTTGCACATGAGATTGTCCAGCCAGTAGTCGATGCCGGTCAGAATGTTGATGGGTTTATTGTTGTCCCTAAGTGTGTAATGAAGGTCAAGAAGGTATGACAGCAGTGTGAGGTTTGTGCATTACAGCGGTCTCCAACCTTTTCGATTTGAGAGCTAGTTTTGCGTCAATAATAGCAACAGTAAATCATGGAGAACACACATATACCATTATAGAGTATTGTACATTACACTATGTGCACTTGTATATAGTGAACTGAAGACATTTATGTAGATTTTTATTTATGCATGCCTTTGATTTTATTCGGCTTAACTTGTTAAGCAGAATTTCCTAGTTTGTGACTTCCTGTTACTCACATGGCAATAAAAGGATTCTGATTCTGATTATGCAGTACAGCTTTGTTAAGTATCCCTGCATTAATGAAAATATTTATAGTTAAAATAGAAATGTAATGACTCAAAAGTGAATCATTCAGGATGAGGGGGTGCTGAGCTACTGGTACAGAGCCACATGTTGGAGACCCCTGGTGCGTTACAATGACTACAGTACCTGAGTCTTAAGCTGACGGCAGGATAGCGACCTCCTCCAAATATGGGCATGTTGGAGCCCACCAGCATATGGATGTCTTCAAATGTCCACATGATGTTACGCACAAAGTCATTCCGTAAACCCTGTCAAACACACAAACAGTCCGCCATGACTTTCAGGGACTTTGTGACGCCTCAAACTTCTTCTCAGTAGTTTCTTGGCAGAGGTCTGGTCTCTGCCAAGTGAGTGAATGGATAATGCCATGTGACGTGTCTTTAGCTATCATGATTTAAAAGAGAATTACTGTTGACAGAATCATGAGCTATGTCATGTAAATTACATTAAATGGATCAGTCCTGAATCTCCTGATGTCCCTAAACTTGTAGAGATCTTATGTATTTACCTGACCGTTTTCTCCTTCATTGAAAAGCATTGGGAGATTCTGTTCATTGGGCATCGATGACACATGACCGAGGGCAAAATGGCTCTCCATAGAGACACTCTCCTGTTCAGAATAACAACAGAAGTAAGTGACTGAAGCCACACTTAATCTGCACAATAATATACATGTACTGCATGTGTGGGAGACCTCTTTAGCAGCGGCTGAATCGTGCTCATCTGGAGGGGAGGTCGTGATGCTGGTCGGCCACGACGCCCTGAACTCCTCTGCATCGTTCTCCTCCTCTTCTTCATCAACCAAGTCTTTTGGTACAGGCGCCGCAGCTCCATCTCCATTTATACTGAAATAAAAAGCATTTGTCATGCCAAATGTCCATTTGAAAGTGTAAGCTACCAAAAAATACTCACCTATAGTAAAGAAACTTTGATAGGATAGCTTTTTGATACCAATGCTCTTTGCTTTTCTTTTTCCTTTGCCACTTTTGGTCCATGAGTCGCTGGTAGAACTCCTTCAGCCACGCCCAGTCTCCTGTCTGAAATCAGCATTACATCATGCCTACTTGCTCAGACTGAGAATGGTTCACAACATTCCTGCTTACCTGGGAGGACCTCCGAAACAGCTCTTGAATATCCAGCTCATCCAAAAGCAATGTCCTCCCCACTCGGTGAACCGCCATGCTGACATGGGACTTGCTGTAAGGAATTTTCAACAGCTTCTTTATGTTCTAATGGAGACACAAAATAAATGCATTAATAACAAGAAAAGGGGCACAAAGATGTGTTTAGATAGTTGTGAAATCTTCACAAACCTCGGAATCCGACACCACATCGACATCATCCCCAACGCAATCAATGAAGTCATACGCAATGCCGAAACTAGAATGATCAACAAATGGAAAATTAACAAGGAAACAGGTCAGAATACCCTTTCATCTTTACTATTTTGTGCGGAGGTTGCAATTATAGAAGAACAACAGAGAATCATGATTGTACATTCATTCACCATCATTATGAGGCCCATAATCATGTATTAGTCATGTTTAGGGATTCATGACTGAAAAGCCACTCTGAAGAAATGATGAAAGCCATTGTGTGATCACCGTAACATAATTAACTACGTAAATATACAACACAAAAAACTACACACAAAACGCACTCTACTTTATAATTAATATTTCCCGCTGTGATTTGACAATACAAACAGTTCCCAATATGTATTCTGCTGTTAGCGAGCATCCATCTTCATCAGCCCATCCGGACCAACAGGGGAGGCCATCTGCTCTGAATGTGTGCAGCGATCATTAGCCGAGCGAGTTAGCTACTTCCAGCCAAGAGTAAACAACAATTAGCATCAGGGGCCTTATTTATGAAGCGCATGCACATACAGTAATGTTACGTCAGTCACAATTTCCTTGTTGAGATTGTGGTGTATGAGAAAACAACATGAAATGGAAATGAGGGATACAAAAATAATAATCTGTTTTGGAGCTTTGAGACAGAATGTGATACGATTGTGGTAAGAAGTGAGCAAATGTGAGGAAGTTTGTGCATGTTTTTGGTTTGTTGTGACATGTAAATTTCTCCTATGTGAGATAAATAAAGCACATCTTATCTTATCTTATTCCAAATTCAAGGAAAAGTTATAAAAAATAAATAAGTTCCTGGTGTATTTGAATTGACTCCCCAGTGAAGTGTGTGAAATAGTGATTTTGCAAGGTCTACACCGACTGGCCTCCTACAAGGCGATAAGATATACTTGTCCAAACTTAGGCCAAGGAGACTTTCTGACCACTGGAAATGTCAACCAGAAAATGTCTTACTACAGCAAAGGTATTTTGTGGCCCTCTAGTGGACATCAAACTTTAATGACAGAGCGGCCCCCACTGAGAGTCTGGGCAAATATGGTACATTATGTATCGTTTTAAAAGGTAACTTCATCTAGAAAACATTCACACCATTTACTTTACCATAAATATAGAACCCTGAATGCTGAATACAACAACCAATAATTCAAAGAAAACATTATTAAACTCATCTACAACACTGAGCCTCAAATAGCTGAAATCATTTTGTTCATAGAAAAACTGTTAATGTTGAAGAATGAGAAGATGCACAATTTGAAATGTAGCAGCATATTATATTTATCCAGGAGCTAAAGAGCGTGTGCAAAGTGAAAACTAGTAATACAGGTGTCTCAAAAGAAGTGAAATGTTCATATATTTTGCACACACACAAACATGTGATAAACATAACCCTTCACCATGACTCGACCTCATGGAACTTGAGACCCCTTGACTACAGAATTCTACTTATGGTGACTATGTTTCTATTGGTTAATCAGTTAAACTGTGGTTCCTATTGGATTAGGAGACACAAACAGACGCTATGAAAACCCTCTACAAAGATTGTATTGGGTGGAGATGCTGTCCACACATTAAAAACCACCTTCTCCAGTCTAATATTTCTTGCATCATTGAATCTTTGCCTTCTACTCTGCCCATCTTATATCTTACAGGCACAACCACTTATGAGCATGTTTGATTAATTCAGGGCCATGACTTCGCATGCCTTCCTGTAATCATAATGCAGATAGTCTTATACCATGATAGTTACTAGAACAGTGAGTGTTTACCTAGAAAAGGGTTTGCTCTTACTGCTGGAGCCTAACACAGTGGTGCCTGCTGTGCCCAGCTGGGGGTTCTCCCTGAGCCAGTTTGCAGGAGGCAGCTTCAGGTCAGTCTTCTCCTGGAGAACTGCGTAACTAGTGGGAGGTGGGGCAGCAGAGTACTTCACCACAGCTCTGCTCTTTATTTCACTGTTGCCAGAACAGATCATTGTGTCCTGCAGGATGACAAGCATTGAGTTTTAGTATATATTGTATATGAGGATGTGGGTCACACACAGTGACTGGCCTCGTGTCGGTGCCCAGAGTCAGGACTTAACATGGGGAGGCAGTGTTTCAGATTGACGCAGCAAAAATCTGGAATCGTCTTCCTGAAAATTTGATACAGGCTTCTACTGGCAAAGTTCAAATCCAGGTTAAAGTAGTTCTGTCTAGCTGTGCATACAACTGGAGGATTGTATCTTCACCCGTTTAAAAGTTTATTGAATATTTACATCTCTATATTTCAAAGCCATGTATGATTGATTCTTTCTTTGTATGATTTGCTTCTTTCTTTTAGAACTGTGCAATGCACATACTCTTGCCTCATTCTGGAATGTCCCAGTATTCTGGAACATTCCAGAATACTACATAAACAATACTAAGAGATAGGTTCTTCTATAAAGGTGATTTGGTACAAGCTTGCACGTGAATGCAATGCGTTCAGATTGTTGTCCATTGTCTGTATACATGTGAGCTCTCACCTGCTTACTGCTGTCTCCTGTGCATGTGTGTCCACTGTCCTCCATGGAACTGTCATAGGGGATGTCAGCCTCTCTGTCCCCGGCCGATGAGGAGCTCATTGTGGACAAACGGGAATCAGAGACCAATGTCTAATGGAACAACCATCTAAGGATCATTTTAGAGATGTACATAGGACAATTGTCAGTATTCAGAACCTGCTAGCTCACAAACAACAACCTGGAAAAAAGTTGGGTATATTCCTGCAGGCTCAACAGATATCGACAACCTCAGTCCAGAAGATCGGCTGTAAAATAGTTTAAAAGCAGAATGTTTCTTTCGATGTTTCAGCCACAGACCCGTGTTTGTGTTTATTCGGTGCTGTTTCAGCTGCTTCTCTTGTGTTTGAAGCTAACAGTTGCTAATCATCTAGCTATCACTTCCGGGTCTACTTCAAAACATACATAGAAAACATACATTTTCTCTACAACAAATTTACTTTTTTGTTTATAAGTATGTTTCTTTGCTACGCGTATTAGAGCGCTGATAAATATTACTACTACAACATTTAAATACTCGTGTAGTAAGGGAAAATATCATAGATATGGAAAATATCAACACTTCTTGGTAACCCGGATGTACTACGCCATAGATAAAACAAAACATACAATTACTTTTTTTTAATTATGTTTTTTTGTTGTTACAATTATGGATCAATAATAATAACAATTCATACTGGTAATACAAAAATAATATAATACATATATAAAGTATGTGTTATATTATATGTACATAAAGAACATAAATTCAGTGTTTTTCACCCAGTGAGCCATCAAAATAATGTGACAAGAAATAATTTGAGATGTTTAGAAAGACTTTTATGCACTTGTTGGATTTTCTATGTTGTACACTTTGATGACAATCATTGTACATTGTTCATAAAGGCTGCTGATTCATGTCTGTACCAGTTTCAGCTGGTGGTGTGCCATTTGCTTTTTGCATGACTTTTTTTTTTATGAAAACGATGTGCCACGGCTAAAAAAAGGTTGAGGAACACTGAATGACTTGATATATAGACTTGATATAGTGGCAAAATATATAGACTGAGCTGAATTAATTTAAGTAACTAACAGGTCTTCGTGTATTTGTATGCATAGTGTGATGTTATGTACTGTCTGTGGTTGTGACAGAAGTATTTTGAAATGGTTCAAACTCGTAAAAAAATATGCTCGGAAAAATATGAAACGTGGGTTCAACTTTACTTCTTGCATGTCTTGATACATATTATCTATCGTTGATTGAGAGATTTAAACAAAACAAAACAAGAATACACAAATGCCAAATTATATTTCTCATAGACTTTCTGTTGCTTTTGGGCGATGAGAGCATGGATGTATTATAGCGTGAGTCAGTGTCTCCCAAAGTGGGGTCCGCGGCCCCCTGGTGGGCCGCGAGGGTACTGCAGGGGGGCCGCGGGAGGTCATAAAAAAATAAAAAAATAATATAATTATTTAATGTTAAATTTATACTGTTTTGTTTGTAATATTAAAATATTTGTGCTCATTATTTGACTTCAATAATCCACTGTAATCATTTTTGTATTACAATGTTTGTAGCAAAGGCTATTTCCCCAAAATAAAATAACCAGAAGAGCCTATTCTTAATGTTGTCTTCTTGGTTATTATTTTGGGGGGCCACGCAGACCCGTCAGATTTTTAAGGGGGCCTCGGTGTTACCGAGTTTGGGAATGGCTGGCGTGAGTAAATGAGACATACATCCATAGACGATTGTTGTGACGTGAGGGGCCGCTGGAGTGAGGTCACATGACAGAGGTCTGCAGCCTGACGCCTCTGGATACATTTTTACACTCAGTTTCTACAATGACGAGCTGGAAAAGTCACCTCCGCTCGCAGCTCAGCCGCAGGGACCGCACTGAGAAGCTGCCCTTCACTGGCGTCTTCACCCGCTGTAAGCAGTGTTTCATTCAGCTTTTCTCCTTGTTTTCAGAATCATGTAAGTTTGTTGTTCTAGTAAGTGAGACTCAGGAGCGTTTCGAACTTCGCTGTCAAATATGGGAGGAGATGCACTCCAAAAGGTCGGGTTTGTTTCATCATGTCATACGTATCTGTGGTGTTACTTGTGTTATACTTTGATTATTCTGGTCTATCTTTGCAGCCTAGAAAACGCTGAAGTTGATGATGGGAGACAGACCAAACTCCTTCACCTGCAGCTGAGAGAGAGTGAACACCTAGCAGAGAAGGTTAGATGGCTTTTATTGATCTGTAACCGTGAGAAAAATATTGTAGTTGCAATTGCTTGGAGAGCAGGTTACACTCTCCACAAAGGGATCGAATTTCCAATGAAATAATAGTTCTAAAGCAGCCTATGTAGAAAAGTAGAACAGTACAAACCAGTCACACAAAGCACAGCAAAGTGAGGTTGACTTCTCCCAGTTCTCCCATTCCATGTGTATATGTATTTAATTATACATGTTCGACATGGTACATTTATTTGTATAGCACAGTTCATACACAAAACAACTCAAAGTGTGTAACAAAACAATCATATAAAGTATTAAAATGATAAATAATCACATCAAAAAGTGGAGATAAAATTCCTCAGTTGTATGCACATCTTAACCTGGATTTTAGCTGCATAAATCTGAAATGCTGCTCCCCATGTTTAATCCTGACTCTGGGCACCAGCAGGAGGCCAGTCCCTGTGCCCTGTGACCACATGAGCATAGTATCACGTGACCGTTTGAACACAGGGAATGCAATAATAACAAACACATAGGAGCCATTGGTTTATAGGGAGCTGGATGACCATTGCCCATACATAATAATAAATGTCCTTGAATGTCCACTGTCCTGAGACCCTCCTGCATCATCAGGAAACAAAACAAAAACCCATTGGAAAAAAAGGAAGGTCCATATTGAGAGGGATCTGCTCCCATGGACGAACAGGCTATAACTATATGCTACTTTAAATTATTGTTCGTTTAGTTACAGTACCAGATGGAAAAATCTTGCTCAATGACACTACAACGCTGGCTTCTGTTACTATTTCACCATTACTTACAATATGTCATTAATTATCGACTTCTTTTTAGCTTTCTCAGACAGTCTCGGACCTGACTGCTGTCCTGTATTTAAAAGAGGCTGAGATACAATATTGGCAGTCACGGTAAGATAAGCTAATGTCCTGAACACACATTGTTGTATATATCATTACTGAGATGCCACTCCCTCTAACAATACTCTGCGTTTTAGTGTGAGCCACTTCCACAAAGAGGCCCTGCGTTTGGCAAAGGGCAGCAACAGAATGAAGTCTGTCCTGTCGGAGTATGAGTTCACAGTGGAGTGTCAAGGGAAGGAGCTGGTGTCTCTGCAGAAGGAGAAGGAGCGGCTCAAGGAGACGCTGGCTCAGGTCCAGAGGGAGAATGACCAGCTGCTGCAGTGCTGGATGGACAGGAGGAGAGAGGAGGCCTACAGGGTCAATGAGTATAACAACACACAAGAGAGGTACGTTTGAATAAGCCTATGGACCAAATGTCCTCTTAAAGCATGACTCAATATTGCATGCTTTGTATGTTTTGTGAAGAGATTAGGGGTGGGAAATGCCAAAAAATTGACTATTTAGTATTCTGCGATATATTTTGAGTCATGTCTCTCATATTGTTCTCCCCAATTTTTGTAAATCCTTTGAATAAGAACACCACACCCACCACAAGAATGGATTGAACTGTTTCTTGTCATTACCTTGTTCTTCTACCTTGTGAGATAAAGACTAGATATAATATATTTGCAATTATGACAGAGCTAAAAAATATTGTTGTCACTTTAAGCTCTATTTCACGGGTCCTTTACAAAGGACAATAAAGGGCTTTTACTTAATCTTCAATCAGATTCAATCTTTCAATCTTTCGACAGTTTTACACATTAGTAAGTTTATGCTGCAGATTTGAAGAATCATTCTAAATGATTTTGTCCTGTCTGTGAAGTACTATTTTTCATGAGTATTTTTAGTATCTAGTATAGTCTATTCTATACTAATATATAATGGGTTCTGTCAGAAGTGTTGAAAATAATAACTCAAAACTGATCTGCATCTATTCCTGGAGGATTTACCCTGGTAACATGATGATGAGTCAGTTTACTTTTCCCACTACTTTGACCACTGCAAAAATAGATAAAACAAAGCTACACATACACACCCAATGCCATCAATCCATCCATCCATTTTCTTCCCCTTAATCCATTTCTGGGTCGGGGGGGTGGCAGTCAGAGCTGCACCCAGTACACAGAGCACCAGCCCCTCACTGATCCTCCTGCAGGTGGTGAGTCCACAGGAGCTGAGATCTTTCAGCAGGAGCTTCAGGCAAAGTGAGGTTGAGTGTCTTGCCCAAGGACACAACGATAGCAGAAATCAGTGGGAGTTGTGAAGTAGGTCTTACGGTGTGCTCGAACCCACAACCTTCAGGCCCTAAAGCCAATGCTCTACCAACTGAGCCACTGTCGCCCTTACACCCAATGCCACCGAGCAATAATTACTGGCTCATACTGTTTGTGGTTTAATATTGTAAATCATTTCTTCATGATCAGTAAATTTAATTTGATCTAATCTTATATTTTGGGTCTAAAATGTCTGAAGCCTTATTATTAACTTGACACCACGTATTTAATATCGTCTCACATGCTGTGAACGCTGCTTGGGCTTTTACCAACCACAGCTCAGATCATTCATAACGCTTTCATACTGAACATTTCTACCGGACTCACTCACAATTAAAAAGACAAAAGTCCTCAACGGATCTGAAAGTTTGCGCCTAGTGGACCAGTGGACACTCGATTGGTTCTTTCTCCAGAGTTCACAAACATTGGCTGAAGCTGCGTTGGATTAAAACGGTACAGACAGAAGACATTTAATGTTACAAAGAGACATATTTGCTGCATGCACGAGATTTTATACCATGGAGGAATCATAGACACTCCAATCAGATCCTGCCACGGCACCAGTAGCTTCGGCTTTCAGATAACCAAAACATTCATGTGGAAAATCACTGAGTCCTGCAAACTGTTAGAGTTCAACTTTAACCACAGTTGCTTCAAAAGTGTTTATAAAAGAGGAATTCCTGACCTCTGACTATGAAAAGACAAAGACATTGTTTTCCAGAATGAAGGATTGAGTTAAAATCACTGTTGCTTCTTTCTTCTTTGTTCTATAACTCACAAAGCATGTTCCACAGGTGGCACCGGGTGCTCAGACACATGAAGAAACACAAGGAAAAGCCCGGCACTCCTGAAATCATGCAGACTGAGGCTACAGAGACACAAGCCCAGAGTAAAACTCAGTGATCAGAGAGAGAGCTGAATGATCATGGTAACATGGAGATACTAACTCTCTCGATACATTATTTAATCCAACTTTATGCTTGTAACACTTTTTTATATATTTGATAAATATTGTTATTTTATCATGCTAATTATAACCATAATTATTTGTGTTAAATCTCAGCTTTTTTCTTATTATTGTTTCTTTGTTTTATAATTATTTTATTTGCATTATTTTAAGGCTTGACAACCAACGTCACATTACAAGAAGATGTATTACGCTTTGGGCTACCTGGTTTTAGAGAGTATACGCAACGTAAATTAAGAAAATATCATTGCAATAAAGGTAAACATGAACGCCATTATTTCATTCTGAACAAAATATATGCCCTAATTACAACTCCAAATATTTTCTGTTACTATCACAAATTATATAAGTATGAATTGGCAGGAACTAGAAAAATGACAGACTAGACAGACAAACAAATCACAACTGACAACTGACAAAACACGACATTCTCTCCCATTCTCATTCAAAACGCTCTTGCTGCTCCTTTCTATTCGTTTTGTCTGATTTTTTTTAGATTAACTTTTTTTTTTGGCCTGGGGTTTTTTTATTATTATGTTTAGGCATTTGTTGAATAAAGCATGTTACTTTTATTGAATGTTTTACTTGTTTTGCCATCTATTTAAATTGTCATATTTTGCTACTGTGATAAAACATTTATTAATTTTTGCTTTCATTCAATGTATTGTTTGTACGTGGTTTCTTAATAAACGGCTGTAACTGAAAGTGAGCGCAGATGTGTCCTTTCACTTCTCCATTACACACCGAGGTCACATTTCAGGTAGTTTACAGGCCGTTTCCATGGTCACCGGTCTTGCGACTTTTCAGATTGTGTCTCTGTTATAGTTTAAGCTCTCGATCAAGGCTCCATTCTGTCAAAATGACAAAAGGCAGGCAGTTTTCTCCAAACAGCCGTGGTGGAAAATGGGTGAGATGTTCTTTTGTGCAAAATTGTTATGTAGTTGTAGGGACTTGAAAGAAAGTTAGTCTCTTTGTCCTTTTTTTATTTCCGCAGTTCGCTCATCCAGGCTCAGCGGGGAGTGAGGTGGGAAGTCGAGAGACGTGTACCAGCACTGGCTTCATGCTGACTCAAGTGAAATCAACAGTGCCGCCGGCTTTGCGCACGGAGCACTATCCTAAATGGAAATCTCAGCAGGTGTGGAGATAATGTAGGGTATACTATTGTGCTTAGTGTTACATGGCTTTTCGGAATGATCACACACAACAGTGAAGGCTGTGAGGGCCCATGTTATTGCCCTTGAAAACTGGCCTACCACAAAAGGGATACACACAAGTGCTTGTACAGTGCTTTTGCGAAAGTATTCGGCCCCCTTGAACTTTTCAACATTTCGCCACATTTCAGGCTTCAAACATAAAGATATAAAATTTTAGTTTTTTGTCATGAATCAACAACAAGTGGGACACAATCGTGAAGTGGAACGAAATGTATTGAATAATTTTAACAATTTTAACAAATAAAAAACTGAAAAGTGGGGCGTGCAATATTATTCGGCCCCTTTACTTTCAGTGCAGCAAACTCACTCCAGAAGTTCAGTGAGGATCTTTGAATAATCCAATGTTGTCCTAAATGACTGATGATGATAAATAGAAGGCACCTGTGTGTAATCAAGTCTCCGTATAAATGCACCTGCTCTTTGATAGTCTCAGGGTTCTCTTTAAAGCTCAGAGAGAACCATGAAGACAAAGGAACACACCAGGCAGGTCCGAGATACTGTTGTGGAGAAGTTTAAAGCCGGATTTGGATACAAAAAGATTTCCCAAGCTTTAAACATCTCAAGGAGCACTGTGCAAGCAATTATATTGAAATGGAAGGAGTATCAGACCACTGCAAATCTACCAAGACCCGGCCGTCCCTCCAAACTTTCATCTCAAACAAGGAGAAGACTGATCAGAGATGCAGACAAGAGGCCCATGATCACTCTGGATGAACTGCAGATAACTACAGCTGAGGTGGGAGAGTCTGTCCATAGGACAACAATCAGTCGTGCACTCACTGCACAAATCTGGCCTTTATGGAAGAGTGGCAAGAAGAAAGCCATTTCTCAAAGATATCCATAAAAAGTCTTGTTTAAAGTTTGCCACAAGCCACCTGGGAGACACACCAAACATGTGGAAGAAGGTGCTCTGGTCAGATGAAACCAAAATCGAACTTTTTTGGCCACAATGCAAAATTATATGTTTGGCGTAAAAGCAACACAGCTCATCAGCCTGAACACACCATCCCCACCTCAGCTATAGTTATCTGCAGTTCATCCAGAGTGATCATGGGCCTCTTGGCTGCATCTCTGATCAGTCTTCTCCTTGTTTGAGATGAAAGTTTGGAGGGACGGCCGGGTCTTGGTAGATTTGCAGTGGTCTGATACTCCTTCCATTTCATTATAATTGCTTGCACAGTGCTCCTTGAGATGTTTAAAGCTTAGGAAATCTTTTTGTATCCAAATCCGGCTTTAAACTTCTCCACAACAGTATCTCGGACCTGCCTGGTGTGTTCCTTTGTCTTCATGGTTCTCTCTGTGCTTTAAACAGAACCCTGAGACTATCAAAGAGCAGGTGCATTTATACGGAGACTTGATTACACACAGGTGCATTCTATTTATCATCATCAGTCATTTAGGACAACATTGGATCATTCAAAGATCCTCACTGAACTTCTGGACTGAGTTTGCTGCACTGAAAGTAAAGGGGCCAAATAATATTGCACGCCCCACTTTTCAGTTTTTTATTTGTTAAAAAAGTTTAAATTATCCTATAAATTTCGTTCCACTTCACGATTGTGTCCCACTTGTTGTTGATTCATGACAAAAAACTAAAATTTTATATCTTTATGTTTGAAGCCTGAAATGTGGCGAAAAGTTCAAGGGGGCCGAATACTTTCGCAAGGCACTGTATTAATGTTACCTGCAAAACAAAAGTCCAGGTCACTCACAGTGCCCTCAAAATATGTTGTGTTGCTATGTCCTTCATAATCAATAACAAGATTGTTATGATTTAGCGTTTTATTAAAGAAGAAATTCAATTCATTATTTTTGGACATTAGAAATTGTGAAATAACTTTGTCATTTCATGTTTTAGAATGTGAGAAATGGCAAAACGAGTATGAAGGGTAAAAAATGGTTTTTGCCTGTAACTCCCCCATACTACCAATATAGGGAGGAAGTGAATCTGTTTCTGAATACTGTAAATGCGTCTAAGAAATTCCTTTCCTTATGGTGGATCCGACTTGGGCAATAATGTCAAAGAACAGTGAGGAAGGAACCTTAGCATAGGAACCTTGGGACGTTCCTTGGGACGTTCCTTGGGACGTTCCTTGGGACGTTCCTTGGAACGGTAAGATATGGATCTAAAATCAACTGCAGGTCGGTGACTGATGAGGGAATAATGTTGTAATGTGGTTAAAAACTTGATATGTATATCCAAAATACTTCCAAACATCTGTATTGCTGTAGTTTCAGCTACATTTTATAATTCTACTATTTTGATGACGGATAAAGGACCTCACATCTGGTCTATGGTCATCTTCTGACTGGTGCAATCTGACTCAGTGCCTATAGAGATGACAGGCTGCCTCAGAGCACGCCTGTCTGTCCCATCTGGACATATTTTATCTCATTTTCCTTCTCCTCAGTGTCTATATTATTCATAGTGAGTACATATTTTCACAACCACTTCATTATTTGTTGCTGGTGTAGAAGTATTTGGCCAAATTTACAAAGTATCGTGACGTGTTTTCACATTTCAGACTCGTGTTGAATGGGGGAAAAGTTGTTGTGTTGTTTGCACCCGTGTTAGTTGTTTACTCAGTCCTTTTGCTCAGTGGGAATGAGATGTGAGAGACTCCATAATGATTGTGTCCCATCTGGGGAGGTGCTCTCTGCCAGAGACTACAATAGTGATGAGTATCAGCCCCAAATGTCAAGAGAAAAAGAGTAATCAACAAGTGCAGACTGGTTATGATTTGATACTGATTTCCTTGTTTTATTTTCCGCAGCAATCCAGAGAATATCCTTGCTCCAATCATGACAACAAATATGCCTTGAAAAACAGCGTCTTCTTCTGTAGCGAGGTAAGAATGAGTTCCAAAACACTCATCCTTCTCTTGCTCTGGTTTGAAAAGACTTTGCACTTTGTCTTTAGGTCCGTGTGCATCGTAAGCACTTTGAGGACAACCAGCAAAAGTCTCATTTCTCACTCGACCATGACAACACGCAACCCAAAGCTGGAGAAGACATCAGTATCTTTAAGAGTGATTACGTTGAGAAGCAGGTCCACAAGACGCCTGCCAACACCAGGTTTCCCCACAACCACCAGGAGCGGTCTAGGCGGGCTGCGCAGGACCAAGCACCGGACTTTATGTGGTTTGGAAGAGCACGATCTGTACCTGTGTTTGGAGAACATCATACTGCTGCGACTTGATAAACTGAAAAACAGACTTTGAATAAATGTAAAACAAAACAATCCTGTATTTTATTCTCAACATACTGAGTTTCTTCAATGTGTAATATCCACAAAGGTGATTCTTATCAAGGGCCATGCTTTTACTGTTGTCAATCAAACCTACAGTCAGTCTGTATGATCTTCAAGTCCATGATTTAAGTATTCCATCAAAATCCATAAACACTATTAAAAATGATGCATGTGGCATAGCAGAATTGGTACTATCAATGTGCTGTAGGTCATTTAAAAAATGGACCCTCTAAAGTTTGTCCCCAAAATATTTGTGTCTTTCTGGGCCTCAATGTATCCCTCTATCCCCATCTATCTATCTATCCCTCTATGTTGGCCTCCCGGAGGTTTCTCACTTTTTTTCATACTGTTTTTATTTTTTGTCCTGCCTTGCATTAGCAGGAGGGTCGAAGGACATTTATGAACATCTATTAACGTTCATGATCATTTGTCAATGTCATCCCGTGTTATTATTGTATTTCCTGTGTTCAAACTGGTTCTCTGGCCTGTTGTTGGTGAATTGACAACCCTGTAAAGTCTTCTTAGACGATTGCTGTTAAGGGCTATACTAAAGTACATTGAAAATAACATTAATTTATTTTGATTTAATTAATCAATCTTGTACTTTTTTTGTCACTTTTTACAATAAGTTAGTTCAAACAAGATTTGTTTGGCCTCCCTCCCTCCATAATTATTATTTTTCATTCATACAATTTGAATTTTGCATATCCTCGAATACCCTTGAAATGAATGGACATCACTTTGATCATCGCAGCAGTGTGCATGCATCATCAGCAGAGGGCGCCATTCGGACGTGGTTTCCCCCTCTGAAGAGTCATTGATGGAAACACATCATATACACACGCACAAATACACACACACACGCACGCTAACACACTGTATCAAAGTTGCACATTTCAGAACCAGCCCCTGTGCGTAATGTGCGCTCTGCAGTGATCACCCACAGGGAAATAATTAAGAAAACCAGATACCGATTTAGGTCCAATCCACCAACATCGTTACATTAAATCACGGCATATGAAATAAATGAATCCTGATTTAGTCTTGTTGTAGGGGTTTGTTTTCCCCTGAGGGATGAAATCTATGAATTTTACTGAGAATGAAAAAAGCGTGGGAGCGAGACTGACAGAGGCGTGCGGATGGCTCTTAAGTGAAGAGTATTGCCGTCTCTCCTCTCTCCAATATCTGATGTATCTCTCCCGAGGACGTGGTGACCAGCTGCTTTCTTTAAGTACTCACTGGAGACGTGGGCTTTTCTCTCACAAGCCTCTTTTCGCTGCTGTAATTAGCCCGAGCACTGACGTTTGAGGAGTTTCTGAGACTACTTTAAAAGGTGAACGATATCTTAAAGGGATTTTCAAAAATACCATCCCAACCTGCACCCAACAGGCTTCCTTAAGTTGTCTAATCTGTAATATTTCAGACAAATATTTCAGACAAAACAACACCATGACCAGGGAAGCTGACCTGAAAATATATTTGATGCCTCTAGCTGCATATCTAAGTTCATAAACTGCATTTTTTAGTGGTTCTCAGAATGTGTGTTGAGGTGATTTCTAAATATAATCTCACATTTTCACGCAAAACACAACAATTAAGTGAAATTATGAGAAATGCCACAACAGACGTCTCTAAATTAAATAACACGATATGATTAATGGCAACTAGGTTAATAATGTATTGATGGTTAATTGCTCTTTATACAGTCTCCAAATCATATGCGTGCAGTGAGATGTGATTTTAAGACTCAAACAGAGCAGTGATTATAAAAAAATTAAATAAATATACACAAGAAATTGATAATTGAATTGATATTATAAATTTTTGTTTTATATTTTTTGTAGATAGATAGATAGATATAATATATATAAATAAGAATTACTTACTTACTTACTAAATATGAAAGTTATCAACACTAGAAATATTGAAGTTATAACAAAAACAATTCATATTTATTCGTACAGGGTCTGCAGCAGGTTAGCAGCAATAGAAAGTTTTATGTGAGGAGCACCAGAAGTTTTAAGAGTGAACTTTTGGGTGAGTCAAGAACAATTGAAATAATTAGAGAAAAAATAGCTTCGTCTATTCTTTTTCCTGGAATGGTTCAAGAAAAGACCATTTATCATTTTTCTCCGTCTCGACTGTAATGAATTCCAAACAAAACAAATTCATACAATAATGTCAAAACATGTAGGAAAAGTTTTAAGTTTTAATTGTAAACAGAATTATAATGGTGTGTGGTGCAGCTACTGTCCAGTTTGAATGTAAGACAATGCAGATACCGGTTTTATAATCTTGTGTTATTCCATTTTAATAAAGAGGGTAAAGATAATAATAGATTTGGCTTCTTTGTGTCGTTATTTCAGATATTTGGTGTTCGTCTCCTCTCATGCGGACCCCATCTCTTTTGCCGCACCTGTCTATCAAGGCAAGACTTTCCTGCTTAGTTAAAAGGCACTGGTCTTTATGTGGCAGGCTGTGGCAAGTCCAAAACCCCAAGTGCAGAGTGCAACCGGAGCTGTTGGGATGGAGGGAAGAGGCAGTCAAGACCAGACACATCCAGCTGTCAGTCTGCCCTCTGTTCGTGAACTCTTTATTCTTCAAATGAATACTCACACACAAATGATGCGTCAGTAATGTGTGTTGTCGAAGCCAGAGCGAGTTCATGAGGCAAAGCTCTCAACCAGGCGGGGATCAAAAATAAAGTCGTCGGACATGAAGGTAAAAGCGTCATTGTGTGTGGTCTGTGTATAAGTAGCTGGCTTTATATTGTGCAGATTTACACCAGGGGTTTTCAAGCTGTTCAGGGAGGGCCCCCAGAGTTGTGGACGAAATCAACTCTTGCCCCTTACTCTCAATAGTAATAGTTGTATGTGCCAAGTCATGGAGCATGGATTGTGGGCTGCAGCTCACGATCATGGTGATTATTCCTTTCCTTTTGATTTGTTTGTTTTACTTATTCTTTGCACAACACAGAACATGTTATTTCTATTTAAACATCACACCAAAAAAACTAAATTAAGATGCTGGAAGACTTTCTAAAAGATGTTTCCAGACAAAACCATATTACAAAGTGTACATTGGCAGCAAGGGACCAAAGCACAATTTCCTTTCGGGTCAATAAAGTATAATATGCTTTACATGTTATGACATTATTGTATGAATTTGTTTTGTTTGGAATTCATTACAGCCGACAGAAATAAAAATGATAAATGGTCTTTACTTGAACACTTTACTTGAAAAAAGAATAGATGAAGCTAATTTTTCTCTAATTATTTCAATTGTTCTTGACTCACCCAATAGTTCACTTATAAAACTTCTGGTGCTCCTCACATAAAACTTTCTATTGCTGCTAACCTGAATATTTCTAGTGCTACTAACTTTGTAGATGATTGTTTGTTTAATTACTTGTATTGTTTCATGTTTCCTGTGCAGCATGTTGCAGACCCTGTACGAATAAATATGAATTGTTTTTGTTATAATTTCAATATTTCTAGTGTTGATAACTTTCATATTTAGTTAGTAAGAAAGTAATCCTTATTTATATTCCGCCGTTCACAGACCAGAATCACAAAGCCGTTTACAATTGTGAGCATTTGTTTCTCTCTCCACACAGAGCTGGGAGCGAGGTCGCCAGTACAGGAGGCACATGCCAAAAACCTATTATACATGTTTTTAGTGGTAGGGGAAACCGGAGTACCTGGAGTAAACCTACATAGACACGGGGAGAACATGCAAACTCCACTCAGAAAGGCCCTGTTCCGACTGGGATTTGAACCCAGGACCTTCTTGCTGAGAAGCGAGAGTATCCACTCAGCCACCGTGCTGCCTAATGTAATTTCAACACATTTATGAATTGAATAAAACAATGATGAATGATGGATTTTAGAGGTATAGACCGGGAGAATTGAACTCGGTCCTCAAAGGGTCGGTGTGGCTGCAGGTTTTTGTTCCAACCAAGCAGGAGCACACCAGACTCCACTCATTTCCTCAAGTCTTCAATTTCAGTCTAGACCCCCTTGAGGAAATGGGTGGAGTCTGATACTTTGTTGGAATGAAAACCTGCAGCCTCACAGCCCTTTGAGGACCGGGTACCTGAACACGTATGTGGCAATGTGGAGGAACTTGGTTTCTCATAAATTGCAAATAATATTTCTCATATGTGAAGCAGAGAGTGTCACATATATTGTAAATGTCAACAGATTAGTCCTTTGAATGCATTTTGTGGCGTGCGATGCATGTGTTTCATCATGTTGACGCAAAGCAACAAATATGTAAATACAGTGGCTTGATGGAATAGCAGACCTTCGACCAAGGACAAAAGATACATCTCCGTAAACAAGCTCTGGACCACCAAAGACCATCCCTTCATGCATATCAAATCAGACACTTTGAATTGTGTGTCTTTGGTGTTGGGACTCAGACCCCCAGACTGGATCCAGAGCATTTGATTTATTCACAGGCGCTTTGATGTGTTGAGTTGAGAGCTTTTGCACCTGTTAGAGAGGAAGAAAAAAAGCTTTGAAAACAAGAGGTGAATTTGCCAGACAGTCGGAATAAGAGCAAGAATAAGATTGTGTTGCTGTGGCACAACATGTGTGGTTTGGGAGAAAGACCGCGGTGATGTTTTGACAGAAGTCGTTTTAACAACTTTATGAGTTGTCTGGATCCGGCTTTATTCAGGATTTCCTCTGGTCTTGAATTATTACAGTAGTAGTTGAGTTGGTAGTTGAATTAAGACAGACAGACAGACAGACAGACAGACAGACAGACTGGCCCTGTGAGGGCTGGTACTCTCTTTTTCACTGAAAATGATGATCTAAAATCTGGTGATAGAACTGTTTTGAGAGCGGGGAACTTGTGACATGGATTTTCTTACATGGTATTTTTTTTACTGTGGCTTCATTTAAAGCAGTGTGCAGCTTGTGATGATGCCTGGTGTAGATATG